ACACATTTCCAAACAGCGCACCAATAACCCGTGATCGATTAATCAATACGTGAACTTCCGTGCTCCGTTTTCCTGACAAAAGTCATTTTGGAAATTTCGGGCTTTTGGTCTAAACTTTTTGTTTTTGGGTCAAGAACTATCCCTGAGGACCGTTGGATACATTCGCCGACCCCCCAAAAGCCCCCCCTTTTTTGGAACCCCCTAAAATGCAAAAAATGGTCATTTTTTCTGAGAAAAGTGCTGTAACTAAGAATATTTTGGAAAACGGGTGCCGTTATTTTCAAAAATGGTGCATTTCGGAACTGAAAACGGTGGCATTGTTTTCTACGTCCCAAAACTGGCCTATGAAGGCAATTTGTGATCGTGGGTCTTTTGCCTGGGAAAAAACACTTTATGTCACTTAAGCACTTTTGTGGAAAACGGGCTCGTTTCTCACAAAAGTGTCTTAATGCCATTATACTTTAATAAAATGTTGAATTCGCCAACTGAAACTATATAATCGGTACTAACAGATCCTCAATTTTCCGGCGGATCGATGGTGATGTCCATAACTTCATGAAACGCTAGCTTCACCGTCAAATTGCCGATTTGTCAATGCAGAACGTTTTCAAAATATACTCATAATTTGCTTTAAACTTTTTAATTCTCTTAATAAGTTTGAGACTGGCGGGATTTATCGACAGGCAAGGAACATTACCAAAGAGATAGAAGCGATTTGCCTCACTGCTCTTTCCTCTGTTGATATGGATGAAGTTTCTTTTCAACACACATGCACGGAGTACAAGGAGGCTTTTTTTTTTACAAGACGCCCTTGTCACATTTAACGAAACCTTCGCGAGGCTGGGGTCCGACGGAAGCTCCTTTAGCGATTCTTTGGAATGAGTCATTCGCAGTAAGGAAAGAGAGAATGTGTCCTCGACGTTGGATAAGGGGCAATAAACATTTTTGCGCAGGCCAAGATTGGTGGTAGCAGGGAGATCAATTTTGGGGAAAAAAGGGGCAACATTTGTTCTGCTCAAAACAAGGTGTTGGACTTTATTTACAGCCCTATGTCAATTATCAACAGCCCATATGTTGACCTAGACAAGATAACGGTCAAGTATCTAGAGCCAGGGCACACCTTTAATGAGTGCAAGACTCATTCACCATAAAAGTGGAGTTTGACCATTAAAACAATCACGTCTACTTCATGATTATAAGGACTTTGTTCAGGCAGTTGAACAGTGGGTACTGCTATAAAGCATGAAACTGCACAGACTTTGAATCCGTGCCAAGGTTCCTACGGAACCAAGCAACCGTTGTAAAACTGAAGAACCTTCCTCTTTAAAAGATGTTAAAGTTGTAAGTATTCAGCCGTGGTCTGTAGAAATGGAATTGGAAACAAATCAATGACGAGGTTTCCCTTCATTTCACTCCATTTCTCAGACAAAAAAGACGAAAGACTCATTTCCATAGTTTCAAAATAGCTTTCGCCCAGGAAGAGCCCGGGGGATAGCTACTCCCAAAAAACAATACATTATACGGTTAAAACTGTGCAGGCTTATGGCCCCGATAGTAGGGTATTTTCTGGATGAACTTACCTGATAGTAAAACCCTAGATTATATCCGATCTAAATCAAGTGTTTGACTAAAAAAAATCATCCAATTTCTTGTATTATTTTTACCATTTATTTTGTACAGCATTTCTTACAATTAGTTACATTTTTATCACGCTTGTTTTTCTTTGCCTCGCTTACGATATCACATAATTCGCAAATCATTGGTCTTTATGAAGAACGTCTCATCTGAGTTCTTAATTTAATTTCTAAAGAAAGAAACTTATCTATTTATTATCGCCAACTTTCACCAATCAACGCTTCGTTGAAATGCTGGTAGAATTCCGACTATTTTTTTTAAATCGCTGGGAGAAGGGAGGTTTTCGTTTCTTGATCGACCACCATCAATATTTCGTAAAATTTTTAGGTCAGAATGATCGCAGATAAAGTTCCATCAAATGTGGCCTGTACTTAAGCACTATTCTCAGAAAACGAAATTTCAAATTTCAATTTCAGCGTGTCCCCTATTACAACCAATGTTTCTCACAACAGGTTTAGGCTAATTTTCGTTTTTTAACTTTCGATGACGCCAAAGGTTTTGAATGGGGGGTAATTTTCATCAGAACATGTATATTAGCCGATTGACTGTACTTAACACTTTTTCCTAAGAAATGCAAACTATAATATGTGATTTTGAGGCACTGTCCGAAAGTTAGGATGATGAAACCTTGTCATAAGGTCTCAAAGTCCGACCAAAGTTACCTTAGAAAACATAGGGTGGCAGTTTAAATTGACAGCAGCAAGCCAAGTACAATTACAGAAATTGAAATCTTTACCCTCAATTTGCACTAAATGAAACTTGTGAAGCACGTTTGTCAGAAAACGGCAGCGGTTATCCTCATCTAAAATAAACAGCCCGCACACAAAATGAATTCCATTGACTTTGAGGTCAAGTGCAACATTTCAAGTTACACAAACATCTTATTATTACAATTGTGAGAAGGATTCCCAAGTTTTACATATTTAAAGGCAAATGACAAATTACACAGCAACAAATGAAATTTTGAGTGTCTAACCTGGTAAAATGAACTGCACCATGTTGGCATGTTGAACTAGTACTTCAACTCTGTCCCAGGTAAACCATACTTTGTCCACTCCTGTAAATACTGCCTCCTCCGGAAACATTCATTTCTTGTCAGTGAAAGTCGTGTCCCTAGAGTCTGTTTCAAACACTTTACTGTCTAAGGTTAAGAAAAGGGAAGCACTCATGGATTATACATTATACCTTTGCCTTCCCAGTTTGGAGTAAACTTAAAGCACAGTCCACCATTTGGAATCTCACTCAGTTCAGAATCGCGACCTCATATTATAGTAAAATGATTTTAATAATACGATTTCTCCGCAAGCGACCAACACCTATCAAATCGTTGTTTATCTAAACCCCCCCCCCCCCCCCCCCCCCCCAACTGTTTGTATTGTACGTGGGCCATTGGCACGGTTATATAAGTCACAACAATTTGCACGCGGACCTTAGCCAAGCGATAAGTGGTAGAGATAACAATGTGAACAGAGGTCAACTAAAGATAAGGAAAGTAAACTCACGATATCGATCAGGTCACTCTTCCTGTTTGTGATTTGGACGGATCGGTGTCACATGACATAACACCTCATTACAAGTGGGCGCTCGTTGAGGATCACGGAGCAACATACAGGGTGCCCGTCGTCAGAATAAACTTTAATTCAGTTTATTGATTATTAATGATTGTTATATTGTGGGTGTTGGTAACTACCGTCATTGTGTTTTTCTTTTTACTTTGATCATGCCTGTGCTCTGGAAAATTGTAATAGTACCTGTTCGATTTGTTAGGAGACGATCTCCTGTTCAATTTTACAGGATCAGAATGTTTCGTGAGGAACAGTCACCACAAGTGAGTTGCTTACCTGCGGAGTGTTCGTACTCTGGTCTTCACTCAAGTTTGCAAAGCTGCCAATAAACGTATCGCAAAGAACATTTATACTGAAAATTGTGGTTAGTAACCAGTTTGATCAGTTAAGGTGAGGATTGCCTCGAACTGTCGGTTCAGCTTAACTGCTAGGTCATGAATTAGTACCGAAGGATCAAAACATAATGTTGCTTGTTGGCATGTATCAACTATAAAACATCAATTTTGAGGGATAAGGAAGTGTTTTTAGGTTTTCTGAGACCTAGCTAAATCGAATTTTCGTGCAATTTAAGGTTAGAAACAGTCATCAAAATGAGTTAAATAGAAGGTCGTTTTCTCGGTTATTTTTTGGAACTATTCTTCAGAAAAATAATTCGGCCCTTCAAAGGGGGTAAACAAGAAAGCGTTACAATTGTTACAAGCCCTTCTATAATACAAAATGGTGTATCACCTTCCTTCAACCGCCCGAACAATGTGCTTACGCCTAAAGTGTAAACAAATGTGTTTCACCACCTCAAAACCCGCCCGAAACATGTGCTTACTATTAAAGAAAACAAATGTTTTTCCACCTCCCGCCAGTATCCACATCTATAGTTCAACTTATGAGTTTACGATATATAAAATTTTGAAAGCATTTAGTCGAGGGCAAATTGAGGCTAACGATTATTTTTACATTCTGTTTTCTAATGACAGCTTCCAAGCATGCAATAAAAAGTTTAAACTGTTTTAAATCGATTTCATCAGATCGAAACTTTTCAGAATCCAAAGAGAAGAGGGAAATTTTTTCGCTAATTGGGGGGAAATGAGGCTAACAAGTCATAAGATACGAATGATAAATCTGTAACGAAAGATTCCAACCTGATAGTCTGACATCATAGTCCGTATTAAGACCAATACTTCATAAAAGCAGAACCATTATTAACAATTTGTAATCCTTGTATCCGGTACTTTTGCTCCAAGCTTATAATCAGTGAGGCCTGGAAATTAAAAAAGTTTTAAAACCACTCCGAATTCACTCCTTGAAAATTCTTAAACTTTGAAATGAAAGTAAGAATATCAAATTTGAGTGTGTAAAAGACCTAATTATTAACAATTTTATACATATTTATTTATAATTGTATAATGTATATTTATAATTGTATAATGTATATTTATAATTATTTAAAATACTTTCCCGCTCACCTTTATAACCCCTTGTGTGGCAGTGGACCATTTTTTGTTGACATCGGTAATTAACAAATTATTAGCACAGTGAATCTGGTTTGAGAAGTACAAGAGATGACTTCCATCAACCTGACTACATAAACAATCTAGTGACACCCAACAACCCCAATACATTTGACATGCTATAGTTGTATAAAGTGTTAGACTTTAGTTGTGGTAACTGGTAACTGAGAGAATACCTCAAATATCAATTCACCAGCTTATCTGATAAAGATAACTAGGTTTAAAATGTATTACAATCCCTACTACAATGAATCCTGGACACCCATCTAAAAACAAAATTTAGAAACCAAATAACCTCGTCGGGGCATGGCTTGATTTGCAAGTCCTCAAAATGTCCGATGTAGCCGAGGCAAGCATATACGTTCTCCATCTTGAGGCTGACCACAGGACGAGAAAGATTGCCCCAAATTTGCGAGGAGAGGAGTCCCTATTTCTTCATACATCTCCCTAATACTGGTCTCACGTGCTGTCTCTCCATCGTCACATCGTCCTCCTGGAAAACTATTTATTTTTTACAAAAGTGGTTATTTCATCATAAGGTGCTGGGAAACATTTTTTTGGGAATTTCACTTGAGAAATTTAAGACCCAAACAAATGGATGGTAGGTGAACAACGATTTAAATTCACTCGACAAATCCTTCATTAAATAACCAAAATAACACACCTGATTTGACCGGTGTGGGAGTTAAGAGTTTCGGTTCGCTTGGTGTAAAGCAAACTTAGTTTATCTTCCCTGTGGCACACTGGTATGAAAACAGCACATGAAGATCTGGTCAGCTTCTGTTTGTGTTCCACGAGTTTAGGGGCTAGACGTTCTCTGAAAATATTAAATTTAGTGCACTGCACGAAATATTACATGATGCACTGCATTAAATTTAACAAAGGAGGAATAACAAATTTGTTGCGATGATATTACCCCTGGTTAGTGCCATCAAATTCTGTTTCAAATGGTTTCTGATCCCACTGTGCGAGGTACAATTGTCAAATATTCCTTCACATTTTACTGCATATCTAACCATTTTTTAATAAAAAATGTTCTTCTTTCGAATTAGGGGGTGACATGAATGTGGTTAACGTGGAATAGCAACAAAAATCTGTCAGCTCGAAACACTTAACTAGGAGTTTTGCTGCAATCTGGTAAATCTTATACGACAATTGAAGTAAAGTTCTAATTATCTCAGAGCTAACCTCAGCAGAGTCAGAGCATTGGAACCGCGAATCCAAGACACGTTTAAACTCATAGAAACGTTCAGAAGCTTATTCTTACGCAACCCTCATTAAAAAGACAGGTATTTTTAATTTTATGTCATGAAACCAGCGAAACGAAACGAAACGACAAAAAACTTGCTCAGACTTGTCGAATAAAGCAGAAAATTTTGGATAGCGCTCGATTTGATTACGATTTCAATTAAAGAATGATTTGAGTTGCGTGCGCGGCGTAAAATTGACATGACCTTACTAAAAGGAAATAATTTTTAGAGCTAGCTCATAACTATATAAATTCAGTTCATTTTTTACTCCATATATCATATTATACAGTCGTGAATGTAAAAAGCGATTTTTTATTTGTTTGGTTGAAACAAAATCAAAAATTACTTTTCAATTACAATATTCAGTTAATATTTTTATATAAACAAAAGAGAAAAGAAACGTTTATAATATAATATATATATATATATGTTATATAAACATAATTCCCTAAACACCAATAAATTGTGCGCATTGCATTGCATGGCAGCAGTTTTTTTTTCAAAATTCATGAACCGAGATCAATCTGTATAATAACTGTATCAAAATAACTGTGCATCAAAATTTATTTAGAACATTAAAAGAGTAGATGTTCCTTATTGAATTTTGGTCGATACACATGAGCTAATAGTACAAAATTAAGCAAATGTAATTAATACTATTTCATATTACATATCTTAAATCTTAATTTAAGTCGGTTAGTCGGATGTGCTTTCAATCGAGATAATATAGTTCATAGTTAGTATATAATTGATAATAAGTAAGTATATCATGTATTGTGTTGATTGTTGATACATGTTTCGTATCCCAATATCAGAGATATTCGGCGCGCGAAAAGTGGCATGCAACGTATGTCAAGTATTGTGTATAGTGCGCGCCATTGTTTAATATATGTTGTCATGGATACAAATTAAAAAGCACGCGCCACACGTGCGTCAGATTTGGGTTACTTTTTGTTTTATTTAGGCTATTCGTTTGGATTTTAAAATTTCAGAGATTTTATCAACCTGTTAGATGCAACAATAGAAGACAGTTATTATTTAGTAGCAACAAATGGTTTAATCTGCAAGGATCTGATCTCAGCCATCGAGCAAATCATAAAATGCCCAGTAAATGTCTTGTCAAACAGCCCTACGACAGCCGTACTTTTAAATCTTCGAATGTGTTTTTGAGGATTCCGGTCACCCAAGACAAGCACAATGCACAGGAAAGGTTCGGAGCTAATTCAGTTCAATCAAACAACATACAAGTCGATTTTCTTCTAATATCAGAACTTTCTAATTGATCTTGAACTATGGATCAATATTCTACATTGTATATCATATAAATTGGAGTTGGATTATGAATATCCCAACTTTGCAGCTTGAAAGCAACAGCATGGGAGAGTCACAGAGGGACATGGGGTACTGCAATATACGAGCACCCGATGCAGAATGCAACTCATGATGACATGAGCCAACTCAAGAACGTAATGAGAGCCGCTAAGCTGCCACCTTGCTCCTTAAAGGGCCACAGGCACTATGGAGCTCTAGCAGAGCCAGTGTAAGTATTATGGTCAAATGACCAAATATTTTCGGTTATCAAAATTTGTCACAAATTTTATGTACAAAACAGTGATCTTCTAAGTTCTAGCAAATATAAAATCTAGCAGGACTAAATTTGCATTACTGTCGATTGATAACAGTTTGAACATCATCATCACCATCATCATCATTCGGTTGTAACATGAGCATCCTGCAGATCGCTACTAGAGGGAAGCATTGACGTAGTGCAGAAAGGAGCCGCTTCAACGTACAAGAATCTTGTAGATAGCGAGGTTATGGGTCGCACTGCAACTAAACAGAGATCATTGAATTCGGACTGGAACAATACCGAGACGGTTCGTTTTCCTTGGGAGAATTTAGAAGTTAACCCTCCTCTTTAAATTATGTTGAGGCATAACTATAAAATGTCCCTAGTTAAAGCTAGGTAAGGCTGATCTTATGAAATTTTACTGCTGGACCAGAACATTTCACTGAACAAAAATAAAATTTCAGATAATGCAGCTTCACACCCAAGCCTGTCTCGAGTATGTGACGAGCTTGCAAGTGGCGACCGGCAAGTCTACGATGGGGAGCGATTATGTGGAACATAAAACAGCTTACCTTTACCAACCCCTACCAACCAGTGCTACAAAATCTGTCAGAACACCTTTCGCTAAGCAAATCAGTGAGTTCAACAAAATTACATTTCGTATAGTTCCATCAAAAATTGTGTAATACCACAGAAAATCTGAAAATTCACACAAACTGACGTCCACCACTTTCTAAATCACATTAAATGACTTCAGAGAAACAACAGAAAAAATACAACAATCTGATAAAATCCTACTACAAAGAACTCTCCTCCAAGTCACCTCCTGCAGCACAGCCCCAAACAAAACGACCCCGGTCATCTGCTAAAAAGAGTAGGTGCAGGTCAACAACCCCCATTTCCGAGAATACAAAAACAATGCACCCCAGAAGGTCAAGATCAGCTATGTTGCGAGCTGTTTCCGAAGCTACAAGCACAAGTGAGGTCTCCTGCAGTCTCGCTGTGCTGCCCGCCACACAATTCGTGAGTTAACTTTAATGAGCTGCTAATAGTATTAGTAAGGCATTAATTATGTTATTGTTAATGACTCTGCGACCGCACCGCTCGTAGTATCACATTAAATTCTTACTGTATCTAACCTGGAGAAGAAATTTGACCCAATGAAATGCACAAAAATTATTGTTTGTAATTTAATAATTCCCTCGTACATTACACCCGCATTGTCTAGGAAACATCTAAAACGAGGGAGCAGAGGGTGACAGCGAAAGTAACAGATGCTGTGGCAAACAGGCAGATGAACTTAAGGCGATCCAATCTTGCTGTCAAATCAAATGTTAGTAGTTTAGTACTCGCGTGTCAAATGTTGATCCTGTTTTAAACTGAACTGTCATGGCGGACCAATCATTCCCAAACTTAATGTGGTTAGAAATAGAATATGAATTATTTCCACAATGCGAATACGACTCACAATATGATCACACCAGGTTCATCATGTGCCACAAGTTCAATACTTCTTATCTGAGACGAGAGCAACACAGACAGACGGAGGTCTAAAGCAGGGAATCAATCCACGATGGCCACCATCCAGCCAGAGTGACAACCCTGACAAGATCGGGAATCCCTACCTAAGACTTCCCCTAGCTATCAACACTCTCATACATACTTCTCCGGTAAATGTTTTTGAATGATAACTTCATATAAGTTTTGTCCTCGCAGCAACTTTGTTCTAATATTGTGAACCAGTATACTCAGGACAACATTGCTGATAACATATTACTAACTCTAATACACCAGGAGCAAAAGGAAGCTCCAAGCTTCACAGACAAAGGCGTACAGGTGTCAGAAAATCAGAACCTCCCAACTGACTCTCCTAAACTACCGAATATCAAGGATACCAGCTGTATGAAAAGCCAAGCTCACAAAGAGTACAACAAAGAACACAAGTCAGATTGGGTACCGAGGATTTGGGATTACAACTACCTTCTATTCCATTTGAACCGCCGTGATCAAAACCCCGATGGGACGAACCTTATCAGCTGCCACGGTTCCCGCATGAACGGGCTTATAGGATAATATTTTTAGAATAAATACACAGATATTGATTGTTTCGTTTAATCTTAAAACATAATTTGATAATTGTATACGTAACACCGGTACACACAAGACGGCCCCATCACAAAGATGGTTAAAATATCAATCTTCCTTCAAAGCTTTCGTCGACTCATTAATTCTGTATCACTCACGCGTTTGTAACAACTTGAGGAATAACAAATAAAAATAATACCAATAATAACGTGTCATAATACAGAATATTTTACAGCGCCTACAAAAATAACATGATCCAGCAGGTAGGCCAATGGAATCAGAGCTTATTTTTCGATCATATCCAACAACTCGATGTAAAACCCATCAAATTAAGTTAAAAAGTTCTTATTAAAACAAACCACAATCTCAAACGGACGGCTAACGACTAAGTATTTTGGAGATCTAAGTTCGAGTTAGTTGGATAGCGCAACTGATGTGGGTGTGGTGATCTAAAAAAGTGAGTCTAGAAGAATAGCGTGCTCATTCCTCCCATTTCGCTCTGCTCCTTTACGAATATCTCGAAGTATTGGTAGATGATTGTAACTGCCAACAGAATTCCAGTTCCAGATCCGATAGCACCTGATCAATGAGATAAATTAATAATAGCAAACTATGTCGACTGAACTGTGTATGAGTTCAGATACGATATAAAAGTTCATTGAATACAGTAAAAATAGAACTATGTATAGAGCAATGTATGTTGTACCAGGGTACACTAGCGTGAATACGCACCTAAGAAGTCAGCGAGTACTGAGAGAGCTCCAATACAGAGACCACCGAATGCAGCAGCAGTGGGGATGTATCTGTTGAGTTCGTGAACCATGCTCTTCTCACGATGTCCTCTCATCAACATCTGCTGGTCTCTCAGCTGCCTTGCTACGTCCTGAAAATATTTCGGATAAGTTGACTTTGAAACCACGTATTCGACTGAAATTTGTACCGAAACCTGTTGCTCACTGATATAATTTAAAATATGAGAACGATTAAAAATTGAACTCACCTTAGCGGAGGATCCGCTGACGTCAATCCAGGTTTTGGAGAGGAAGGCACAAGATCCCAGCATGAAGATAATGTAGATGATAGCGTGTATCGGATCGGTTATGATATGACCTATCGTCTCAGGAGGGGACAGGTAGTAACACAAACCTCCAATAGGATATCTCTGATAACCACTTTCCTGAAAATAAAAGATGTTAAAAACATTTAAAGTTAACGACAAGGAATTGTGCGCTGGATTTGCACAATTTGCAGCGTGGCAAAATCTAGCAGCCAGCTCGAAAACGACAGCTCAGCAAATTAGCGCGCGCTGTTGCGCGCATACTCTGAATGTTTACAATATAGACCTTTTGACACAAGCTCGCAAAATATTGCAGTGCAAATGGTCGCCGCGTTGTACAAGATGAGGTGTATAGAGCAAGGTGAGGTGTATAAAACAAGGACGTGACGTAATAACAGCTTGTATTTACAAACAAAGTAGTGTCATCAAAGATTTCACTTACCGCCCAGGTTCCGATGAGGTTGACAAATACATTTCCAGCAAACTTCGAGGACAGGATCTGAAATGGATACATAGTTAGGTTATAGGTTATTCGGAAGTTTGGTTCAATTAAGACGGTTCCAGATGAAGTGGTTTGTTTACAGTTTTATCTTTGAACACGCACATCTAGAAGGACATTAAATCGAGATATATTAGGGACTGTCCTTATATAAACAACTCGGACAAAGACTTCCACTGAGTAAGAAATTAATCATACGGCTGCGGTCAACAATTATCGTGGTAACAGTAATTATGGTTATAGTAGATGAAAAGAAGTCAGAACTAACTTATTCTATAGATAAACCGTGCAAGTAATTACAATGGAATGCGGATAAAATATACCTCGCAAGAGATGCGGGTTTATTGTTTAAGCTCGATCGTTTGGCGGATAGGCGTAGATTGGATGTCGAGTATTGGTATCGCTCAAAGTATAAATGCGTATTAAGGTGACGTAAGGTAGATGACGTAAGATAGATGACAGAAGATAGATCTCCAAATAGACTATCAGTTTCACGATAAGTTGATACCATTTCAGATGTATTTCGATACAACTAAACAGACTATTTCAGAATCTATGTATAATCTAGATCTAAGATGGACAACCAGCTTTTAATTGTTCGATTCCTTTCTTGATAAGATTTGTGAATGAAATTATCTAGGGAATCAAGATGTATTACTTTTAGCGTTAAACATTCCATACACGTGGCCATCTTTTACAGATTTGAAGTAATTAAAATCCATGTGAGATACAGTGTTAATATAAAGGGTTAAATGTTTTACTCAAGAGTATTCTCCTGAAATACTACCATTCTAAATCTAAGGCAGTTAAAGGTTGGGTCAGTGGATCAAGGTAGAGAATAATATTATGCTTCTAAAAGTTCCAAATGGGAATAAGATTATTTATTCCATGCTGTCAGTTCTTTATAGATATGGATACCGGTGGGGAGGTGAAGCATATATTTTGACAACTGACAGACATTAACTGATCAGCTTCGACTGTTAATCAGTCAAACCCCAGAATCACAGTCACGTGTCAAAATATATCAACTCCCCACCACAATCCACATAAATTAGCAGTGCTTTTCGGTAAGCTTCAACTTGAGTGGGTCACCATGCCATTCAAAGCTTAGTTAGTAATATCCAGGGTGTCATAACCACGACTTTGTTACGCCAGAAATGAGTTGTGTAAGGTAAAGTGCATTATGAGAAGCCTAATTTCGAGAAATCAAATGGGGTATCTAATAGTCACCATCTGTGTATCTCCACATTTGTGACACCAAGATCACTCCGGGCATAATGCATATAATATCTCACATACGGAGAATAAATAATAGAGATACAGGACTTTCCTCAATATTCCCAGTGTTCCCAATATTCCCGGAGAGTGCCACAGTGTTCCCCAATATTCCCAGTGTTCCCAAGTGTATCCAATATTCCCGGAGTGTGTCCCAGTGTTCCCCAATATTCCCGGAGTGTGTCCCAGTGTTCCTCGGTGTCCCAATATTCCACAGTGTTCCCCAATATTCCCAGTGTTTCCAATATTCCCGGAGTGTGTCTCAGTGTTCCCAATATTCCCAGTGTTCCCAATATTCCCGGAGTGTGTCCCAGTGTTTCTCAGTGTTCCCAATATTCCCGGACTGTGTCCCGATCCCAGTGTTCTCAATATTCCCAGTGTTCTCAATATTCCTAGTGTTCCTCAGTGGTCTCAATATTCCCAGAGTGTGCCCCAGTATCCCCTAATATTCCCGGAGTTTGTCTTGGTCCCAATAGTGAATGTTGGTTGAGTTCCAGTGTGCTCCAAGTGTGTATCGACGGGTCACCAAGTTAACGTACAGCGAATCTTACAACTTTTAAAACAGAATGAGCCCAACATGCAACATGATCAATTCCAAATCTAGTTCACAACTTCCTACAACAGTAACCCCAGATTACCTAAGACGTCATAACGTGATTTAAAAAATAATAAATACCGTAAATTCTTACCTGAGACAGGAAGTAGATGTTAGAGACAAGAGCAGACTGAAGGATGATGGGGATGTTGGATGTGTAGAACAACTTGATGGGGTAGCTGGAGTACTGACCTCGATAACGGGCTGACTTGATTGGTAGATCCACTCGGAAACCCTGAAACATTCAGAAGTGTTAAGTACTGCCAGAAAGAAAGAAAATGTGTACAATTGAAATTGGAAGATTTGTATTTTGATACGGACTGCCTCTACCATAGCAACTTTTCTATTGACCCTCCGCATCAGAAAGAACTGCATTTACAGAATATCACGACGATAATCAGCCATTTTGATGTCATCTTGCATATTTATCAAAGTCAAAGAGCAAGTGCCATATATCCTCAATAATGGATTATGTTAAATAATTAGAACTTTAGCTTTCGCATCGTTTTCCAAATTTTATTTGTTTTGTGCAGGATGAAATAGAATATTTATCCTAAGCTATGTTTTCTCATGAAATTACGGCAATGTTGTTGGAGAATTATCTCACGCGCACGTAAACAAAGCTTTATCATAGAATTAGTAGGGAGTGTAAACTAGCAATGTAAGTAATTGATCAGCGGAAACTTGACACCTCATTCCAACTAGCCACGTGTATTAGCGGAGGAATAGTGGAAGTGAAATCTAACTCACTTGGAAGTAGATGACGATAAGGAAGACAGCGACGGTTGCCATCAGGTTCATCAAGTTGGGCAGGTTTTGTCTGTAGAAAGCTTCACGGAGGCCTCTTACTTTGTCAGTCCTGGTAGCGAGCAAATGGAAGAGGGCAATGACTGCTCCTTCGAATTCGGTACCTTTACCAGTGTTGATTGTGGCAGGTGAGAACGCCTTCCAGACGATAGTTTCGCAGATGTTGGTAGCGATAAACAGAGAAATACTGAGGATTGTATTCGTCAATTGTCATACTTATATCTTACGAAATCAAAAACAGATAAAATCAGATCTGTTTCCATGACCTCTGTGTGGTTAAAATGAAGATAGAAAAAAAGGTTTAATGTTAAGTATCAAATGAGGATAAACTAAGCTTACCCAGATCCGAGACCGTATCCTTTCTGCAGAAGTTCATCCAGAAGAAGGACGATAAGTCCGGCACAGAGGAGCTGGATAATGATAAGCAGACAGATTCCCATTCCGAGATCAGCGGGCTCACCATACATACCAGTAACAACGTACACAATAGCTTGACATACTGTTATCAGCATACCGAACACTGTAAATATTGATTGTTTAAGAAAAGAGTCATTTGATTATATTCATAATATCGAGTTTTAGTTAGAGATGAATGACTGTCAACAATAGAAAGGTTAAAATATCGCAATAACAGCTTTATTAGTACATTAATGTTGGATAGTTGAAAAGTGAACTTACGTTTTTGAGCTCCGTTGAAGAGGGCCCGATCCTTGACAGAATCACCTACTTCAATAATCTTAGTTCCAGCAAGAAGCTAAGGGAATGAAAATCATTAGCGGGGTTTGAAAAGGTGTTAAAGAATTGACAAACATAACGGTGATAACAGTTCAAACAATAATACTAAACTCTCGTAGTAGCTGGTTTGGCACGTACCTGCATAATAAGACCTGATGTTACGATGGGTGAAATTCCTAACTCCATAAGAGTTCCTCTATTAGAAGCCATAATAACTCTCAACCAGTAGAAAGGATCTGCGGATTCAGATGACATAATACCGAAAAGGGGAATCTGACAACACACCAGGAAGATGAAAAGTGTTATGGCAGTCCATAGCACTTTCTCTCTGAATTGAATCTGAAAGGTTAAAATTCATAAATTTAGGGTCGGGGACTTGAAAACATTGATATGTTATAAATGAGAACAGAGAAAAGTTCATAATTTTAATCGTGTTTAACCATCTGAAACTGATTTGATAGCGAAGAGTAGAAATCATAGACGGGGAACTTAATGTAGCTACTAGTGCATATTACGGACATCTTACAGATTTCCGTTATCTCTGAACGATCCTTCGCTAGAAAAACCGCAAGGTGAACAAACATTACACCTCGAACTTACCTTTCGTTCTGGCTTTGAGACCTCAGGCAAAAATGAGCAGAAGGGCTGCAGATATTCCAAAATTTTGACTGAAATGATTTAATTAAATTTACAGTTAAGATTTAAGAATAGTAAAGATGGTCATTCATTGATAATTGCGTCAACTGTTAGTTTTAATGTAAGTTAAGATGTACGGACGAACATCGATTTAAGTCTAATTTAAAGTGAGTAATCAAAAATCCCCTAAATGAAGCTATTGAGAGAATTTAAGAACTTACATCCCATGGTGAAAGAGGATAATCAATACAACAATGTGGGTAAAATGTTCAAGTGGCACCAATCTATAATGGCATAACGTTCCAAAACAACTATCAAATACAAACTAAGGAGTGACGTGTGTCCAACACATAAGAAGGGAGCAACATTTTATCCAACGCGAAAACTGCAAACTATCATCGTTTTAATTATGGCTAGGTTATGCGCGGCGTACGAATAATAATTGAAATCAAAGCACAAAGGGTGCGTAAAAATGCAAAATAATATCAAATATTAAATACATCATAATAAATTCAAGCTACCAAAATCATAAATCGTGCTGTATTTTTCAGGACTGAAAATTGGCGATAAACTACTGCAGTACCTGGAGGGGGATATTTAAAACATATAAGTGATTCGAAAGATTTTATTACCAGGAGCTTTTAAAATACTTGTGTAAATCGTCTTCAAATCGTACTTGGTACTGCAGTACTTCATATTCAATCATGATCAAAGTTATATTTGTAGGTTTATAACCTACCAGGACGCGCGCCGAGTTTATGAGTTGGAGTTGGACTCGTCAACGGTCCTGGAACAAATATTTTACGAGTACAGAGGATCACCCTTCAAACATTAAAATTACATATATAAATTCGATAAGAGAACTTCGCCCCGCCAATTTTATTTTATTCTTGATTCTACGCTTTGCGCAAACTATTATTATTGCTTCACATCAAAGACGAAATCGTTGTTTTGCTTTGAATCTGAAAGGGTCGCAATCAATTTAATTATATTAAATACATTGTCATGGACATTAAACATTTCGATTTTATCGTTTATACTGAAACGGCGGCACTATATTATTTCTGAATTACATTATATTATATTGCTTGAGAAACATTATATTACTTGTTTAATTGACGATGTCAATTCATCGCAGCTCGGCGCGGCACAGTAGCGCATCTCGCCGATCTAGCGATGTCTTGTCATACGTTGTATCGTGAAAACTCTACACTATAGTGAAGCGACAGTGGGGGTCCGGGGTCACCACGTGATACAAGCGATGTCGCTGTGAGAAGCCTCTTTGAGTGCACGGCGCGGCACAGTAAAGTATCGCGCTACAAATTTCTTGTCACTTGTGAAACATTATATTACTTAGGTCTCTTGTGAAACATTATATTACTTGTCACTTGTGAAACATTGTAGGTTTTATATATTGACCATTGTTATTTTCCAATATTTTCGCCGAGTTGCGAGTAATTATTCATATAGCCATCATGATCTGAGTTTACGCGCGCGCGCGCGTATTTCATGTGCATATGACGCGCTTGTTCACAAATAATATAATGTTTCACAAGTAATATAATGTTTCACTTAACGGGTGATACTCGTAAAATATTTGTTCCATGGCCATATATTAGGACCGTCGACGAGTCCAACTCGGCGCGCGTCCTGGTAGGTTATAAACCTTTGACGGATGTTACTCGTCTAAATTTCTTCGAAGTAGCGCGCGCCGCTTTCTTCTCGAAATGTTAGCCCGACGGCAAGTGCTACGAAGTAGCGCGCGCCGGGCTAGACCATTAACAATGGTCAACTCGCAACTCGGCGAAAATATTGGAAAATGGCGATGTAGTTGCAATAAACATAATTTGATGCGCGGCCCGGCGTAGGCCAGTACGCAGTTCATAGTGCATTGCACAGCGCGCTACAAGGGTAAAACCATTTCGTATTATAGCTCAAAAATCGTCAAAATCCCAGTACAAACTTGACAGTTGTGAGTTAAAGTTAAACAACATCTTTTATTTATTACCTAATTAAGTAAAATAGGTAAAATTTCTTGTTTAAGTTTAAATTTAATTAAATGCTTGCGTTGACATACGTTGCATGCCACTTTTCGAGCGCGAAGTGCGCGCCGCATTGAGCAATAATTTAAATAAAAAAGATTAGGGCTGAGGTCGAAAAGAATCGCATGTTACCATATGAAGTTTAAGTACTAAGCTGGCAATATAATAGTTGATAATATTTACTCATTGTTGGACTGATCCAGCACGCTACTTCGCGCGCGCGAAAAATGGGGAAAAATCTAATGTATACAAAGTGCAAAGTGTATCAAAGATCAATATCAGGATATTGCAATAAATTTATTCATTATTATAGCATCAATCATATTAGCGACAAGAGAAACGCAATTTCTGGACGTGATATAATATGTGCAATATTTGATCTGGTCGTAAATTATCAACAAAAGATTGATGCAATTTCGGACCGCCGCAGTCCGCACACTTAACATTTATTTAAAGATCGAGCGCTACCAAACATACTTTTGACCCGTCACTGGCATTTAATATTCTTAAAATCCGTGTTAATTTCACAGTATTTACCACCCCACTACTACAAGAAAATTTACTGGTTGGGCCTTCCCCCAGGGAGAAATTTGAGACAACGTAGATTTTGAGTTGTTTCAAAATTTTCAGAAAAGTCTGATTTTCGGCCGAGTAAAAGTTTACAACTTTAACTTTGCGGATTTCTGTAGTGTGTAGGCTACTAACTGCAAGCGCTAGGGCTCTGGATAGAGCAAAACATCAAATAACATAGTTCGTTAGCTTATATGGGCGAAGTTTAAGAAAAGGAATTGATATGTTTATTTTGTCATCTGTTGGATGCCCCATTTTAGTGATAATGTTACTGGGCTCGTGCTCAGCCTGTCATTCCGCCGAATCTTTACCTGGGGACCTCAGGCTATCATGTTCATAAACGAATAGAGATTAGGCGGAATGACAGGCTGAGCGCGGCCCAGTAACCAAATCTCTATTTATGAACATGATAGCCTGAGGTCCCCAGGTAAGTGATAATGTAGGCATAGACCAGGAAATTTTAATCTTTCTAGAAGCAGGTTATTTCTATCACAGTTTTTGAAAATTCTATCATTTTACATCGTTTAAATATTCTTAATTAATCATCAACAAAATTCAGTTAAAACAACGAAATTTGGCTTGAGGGAAATGTCCTACCAGAAGAACATTTAAAAATTCTCCTTCCATCAAAGTTTTCTCCGGATATACAGCTTTCAGTACCTTGATGGCGACTTGTGTCACTCTCACTGACATCACTGATTGGTCACTGGTCAAAGATTCAGCCAAAACGGAAAACTGTGAAATTATGGTCAAGTTGACTAGATGGCAGAAAAGCTTCTCTTCAAAGATCTTCCAAAATCTCTTTTAATATTCTGATGATTTTTGGTTATCACAGTTTTCTTTGGGAATAGAACTTTTATAAACTCAATCGTATTTTGTGCCTTCCTCAGCGACCTTGCTAGATGGTCATTTAATAAAAATCTAGTCAAAACAGGTTGTTGGGTTGTGGAAAGCTGAAATCTGAAAATGTCCTTGTACCAGTACAACATTTTCAAAATTTTCATTCCATCAAAGTTTTCTCCGGATATACAGCTTCCACTTCTTTGATTGTGACTTGTATCACTCAAAATGACCTCACTAACTGGTCACTGGTCAAAAATTGAGTTAAAACTGTAAAATATTGGTCAATGAAACGGCAAAAAAGCTTCTATTTATTATTTTTAATATTACTAATATGCACATTTTGACTAATTCAATCTATTACTCTATATAGCTAAAAATGTCGTTTCATATGGAAGCAATTAGAAGATCTCGCACATTAGCTAAAAAGAAGGATGCTCAATTCGCACTCTCCGCTAAGGAAGAGTCAAAGGTAAGCAACTTAGTATTTATACAGCTTGAGTTTATAAACTCAAGCTGGTTACTTATTATTATAAGCTACAAAAAGCAGGCCAGTATAGGCTTGAAATTGCAACTATGGAACAAACTCGATTTTTATTTAGCTTGGGACTCAAGTTAATTTGACCAATGAACACTAAACAGCTTCTTTTAAAAGTAATAAAAAAGTAGGATCACCCCAGTCCGACAAATTAGATGAGTAAATTTAAGTTTGATCCTTGGAGGTCAGCTTTGACGGCTACATTAATGAATTATACTTATAGTTGCTTATTTCCTCTTTGAGGAACAATCAACAAGTTGCATTATTTCACGATCAAAATAAACTTTTTCTATGAATAATACTACACAGGAATTACAGGGACAGGCTCTTGAAGAACATGTTGAAAACATGTGCAGAGAATACACATTTCCCCGACGTGCTATAAGCAGCTACGAGATACCAAGATACTCCACTGCTCCTGAAGCTAAGTTAGTAGTTTTAATAAGTCCTCTCGTCATAAACCTTGACAATCAATAATTTTATCCCTCAAAACCTTAAATTAAAAACATTACACACAGTATGCACACTCACATATGGCAGTGACTATTCCAGTTGCATATAATGTATATAATGCAGTGTACTAATAGCAGCAGATATGAAATAACTACACGATTGCTTACTGATAGACTTGCAAGAAGTTCCTGCGCTGAATAGGGCTTGTAGCTCAATTGGTAGAGCACCAGGCATGAAACTCGGACGTTGGCGCATCATACCCGCCCCGGCACTATGCCGGCCCATGACTTTCCGAATTGTTTACCTGTGAAAATCTAGTCAATTCAAATATCTGCTTGCTTGGTACTCATGGTCGATACAATCACAGCCCAACCAACCGATTCATGAACATGTGCATATATGTCATCTGGGAGCCGTCAGTTGAATTTAAGTAAAACTGTATTTTACTTAAAATTGTATTTTACTTAAATAATTTTAGTATTTTTAGTGCAATGCCCATTTACTTTTTGTGTTTAACTCAGAAATAAAACATGCCTCTTTGCTGCTTGATCGAATTTGCAAATATCAAGATAAAATCATGTCAGTAATCAGTTCATTTTTGTGTCATGCAAAAAATTTCTAAACTGTATTTTAATCTTTGAATGTTAAATTCTTCCACCTATATCATAATAAAGTCTTAACATATTTAGGTGTTCTCATGCTTCTTCAAATTCAAATATTCAATAATATTTTAACAGACTGTCCATGAAGTTTCACCGGTTGGGCTCCAGTCCTGTATTTTAGGTCCAACTCGTTGTGTATATCGGTTACTGTTGTAAGGCTCCTGAAAAGTTGAGAGTCGTTTAAAAATGGAGATCTTTATACTCCGATAAAATGTCTACTTTAAGGTGGAACTTATAGAATAATTGGAGAGCTAACTTTTTCAAAAATATTCGAGTATTTTATATTTTAAAGCAATAAGCTCATTATATGTACTGTAAGTAATATTGAAAAAAAGAGAGTAGTACATATTATTATATTGATTGTTTTAACAAACCTGAGTGATTCCATTACATTTGGCGTTTTCCAAACAAGCATTTTTAGCATCTTCTAGACTGTTGTAGGATGCTCCAGCATAGCTGTACAGGAAACTGTTCTCGTGTTGGCACCAAGTTGGACCAGTTGGTTCAGGTTCTGGTTCAGGTTCTACTTCTGGTTCAGGTTCTACTTCTGGTTCATCGCAGACTGTCCAAGAAGTTTCACCGGTTGGGCTCCAGTCGTGTATTTCAGGTCCAACTCGTTGTGTATAACGGTTACTTTTGTAAGGCTCCTTAAAAGTTAAAAATTGTTTAAAAATGGAGATCTTTATACTCCGATAAAACGTCTACTTTAAGGTGGAACTTATAGAATAATTGGAGAGCTAACTTTTTCAAAAATATTCGAGTATTTTATATTTTAAAGCAATAAGCATATTATATGTAAGTAATACTACTACTACTATGTAAGTAATATTGAAAAAAAAAGAGTCGTGTATTATTAAATTGATTGTTTTAACAAACCTGAGTGATTCCATTACATTTGGCATTCTCCAAACAAGCATTTTTAGCATCTTCTAGACTGTTGTAGGATGCTCCACCATAGCTGTACAGGAAACTGTTCTCGTGTTGGCACCAAGTTGGACCAGTTGGTTCAGGTTCAGGTTCAGGTTCAGGTTCAGGTTCAGGTTCAGGTTCAGGTTCAGGTTCAGGTTCAGGTTCAGGTTCAGGTTCAGGTTCAGGTTCTGGTTCTGGTTCAGGTCCTTTACATGCTTTAATGCTGCAACCTGCAGAGATGACCTGATCTTCAAGTGCTTTGCATTTCTTAGCACGTCTTTTCTTTATTTTTTCATCTTCTATTTTGCAACCTTCGAGAGATTTTGGAGAAAAGCCTTTCTTGAAACACTTATTGATCTTTTTCTCCAACTTCTTGCATTTTGATTTGGACTTATCCTTTTTGCCTGTAGTGAGGGCAACACAAGCCAGCACAACAACGAGAAACAGAAAGAACCGCATCGTGATGTAGCGTGCTAGATTAAAGTGAGGATTACAAAGTTATTACAACAAAAATCATTTTTCGAGTTTAGTACATTTAAAAAAGATAAAGTACTGAGGACAGGTACCTCTCACCACCAGTCTAGCAATCAAGGGTCGACCGAGGGCAGGATTTGCGACCGAGGAAATTTTGCTTTGATAAAACCAAGGCTGAGGAAAAATCGCTATTCCTTAGTAAAACCGAGGCCGAGGACTCGGTCGACCCTTAAAATCTTCATATTTTCGCCGAGGCCGAGGAATAGCAACTTAATTTTTAACCGAGGCCGAGGCAAACCGAGGAATTGTCCTCCTGAACGAGGCCCCATAAATGTTTTTGTTGCCTACCTACAATTTTAAAATGTGAGAACGGACTTTTATTTACGCAAAATTGTGCACTTAAATATTGCATCTGCTTTGAGAGGCTCGTCAGTCCAGCAACCCAGACTCTTCCGAAGTCACCTTCTGGAACCTTCGCCAGCTCCAGAGCTACCATAAATATGATTAGAACGGAAAACAAACTCTCAACTCTCAACATGTAATCAAAACGTGAAAAATAAAAATAAATAAATGTTATGGTTTAATGATAGCTTTGGTCAGTTTATTACCGCCCTCATCAGATAAAAACTCAATCAACATTTTTATCAACAAGTGCCCCTCCCTCGCTCCCTGCTAATTGTTTTTGCCGCCCACCTTAAATTTTTCCAAATTCCTAAAAAAATGTCAGGCTTTCTTTTTTGCCGCCCCTACAGCTTCGGCTGTGGCCGAAACGCAGTAACTGTTGTCTTTTAGACAGGGAAATCGGCTCCCCGACTGCGACCGATCAAACTGTTATTATTAATTGTTATTAATGGGCAAAGCCTTTAAATTAAAAAAAAGGTTTAACGATTACCTTTTGGAATATTGCAGATGGACAATATAATTTAAATAAAGGTGTAGAGTCAGTACCTTCATCCCTCGGTTTGAGCATTATATTGCTTGAATGACCAAGTTGACTCAACCTAACCTTTGGAAAGCAAACAATGTTGCAATAATAATTAGAGGGATAGATGAAAGAGGAATCCAAAATCTGGCAATCTGGCCCCATACCAACAAGGACCCCAGGTAAATTGTAAGATACAAGAGGAATTCATAGTGAACGTGTGGGAACTGAACTGATTTAAATACTGAGGTGATTCTGGTAAAACTGTGTTACTCATACTCACGTTGGAGCAGTGCTAAAACTAACAACATCCAAATGAGGACAAAAGAGACAAAAGGGAGGGCAACTTGGGTTAATTGCCCCCGTATTTGTTTGGTAACCATCGTAATTGCACAAGGTTGGAGCAGTGCTAAAACTTAAATACGGGGAAGGGAGAAGAACAAAGAAATCGCGGGGAAGGGAGAAATCATATCGCCCACATGAAATATCGGATTGTGGAAAATGGGCAATTAACTGCACGACTATTTACCGAAATGAAACAACTTTACAGTAAGTATACTATTAAGTGTTTTGTTGTAAACTACTGTTTTCCAGGGGTTTTGAAATCAATATATATAATTATAAACTACTAACTATAGTTTACAAATGCAATATAGTTTATCGAACTTACAACTGCAGTAGAATTACACTGAATGTTCGAAATTTATAAGAAAATTCCAATCATAGTTGATTGTGTGTCCTTCTAAGGTATGGTTTCATTTTACCTCAAATATTAATAAACTTTTTGAGCAATTTTGAACATTATAAAATTGAAAATTTAAATAATACAAAAAATTGAATACTAGTCTGATGACCCTGAAACACTGATTCGCCCTACATATTAATGTCATTAATCATTATTGCGGTTATTTTGCACCCCTATGGGGCTCCTATGTGTCTTTCTTACGACAGTTACGAGTTTTTGGAGTGCGGTTCTCAGGCTGAGTTAGGCAGCTGCAGAAAATTTGCTCTAACTTTTTTCCCCAATCAGATCCAGATTCAAAACTCTATGGGGTGGTTCCTGACATTATCATAATGTCACATTATGGACAACACATTCCTGCAGAAAACAGCTTGCCGCAAATTTTTTCCCATATGGTTGGGTATTAATGTTAATTGTCCCTAACTACATGACCCTGTCAAGATAGTTGATGACCCTGTCAAGATATTTGATGACCCTGTCAAGATAGTTGATGACGCTGTCAAGATAGTTGATGACGCTGTCAAGATAGTTAATGACCCTGTCAAGATATTTGATGACCCCGTCAATATAGACTATAGTTGATGACCCTGTCAAGATAGTTGATGACCCTGTCATCAACTATCTTGAAGAACATGTTGAACATTTCCCCGAGGTGCTATAAGCAGCTACGAGATACCAAGATACTCCACTGCTCCTGAAGCTAAGTTAGAGGTTTTGAGAAGTCCTCTCGGCATAATCCTTGATAGTCAATAATTTTGGTATTTTTAGTGCAATGCCCATTTACTTTTTGTGTTTAACTCAGAAATAAAAATGCCTCTTTGCTGCTTGATCGAATTTGCAAATATTAAGATAAAATAATGTCAGTAATCAGTTTATTTTTGTGTCATGCAAAAATTTTCTAAACTGTATTTTAATCTTTGAAAGTTAAATTCTTCCACCTATATCATAATAAAGTCTTAACATATTTAGGTGTTCTCATGCTTCTTAACGTTGAAATATTCAATAATATTTTAACAGACTGTCCAAGAAGTTTCACCGGTTGGGCTCCAGTCGTGTATTTCAGGTCCAACTCGTTGTGTATATCGGTTACTGTTGTAAGGCTCCTGAAATATATTCGGTCAAGGAACTTTATAACTGCATCCAAAGTACAAGCAGAAGGACAACCTATTGTTCGTTTTTATACAGATGTTTTGGTTCTGTTGGTGTTATATGTGAACCACAGTTCAAGAAGATCGTTCAAGAAGATCTGCTTATGACACAATCCAAACTACAAACTTTAAACGGCTGGACGCAGTTTTATGAACTGTTCTTCTACGCGATCAAAACAACACTATTTCAAGTTTGAAGTGCTTAGCTCACTTTGATACATAACCCTAGAAAATTGCATTATATTATTGATAAGAAACGTACCTGAGTGATTCCATTACATTTGGCGTTCTCCAAACAAGCATTTTTAGCATCTTCTAGACTGTTGTAGGATGCTCCAGCATAGCTGTACAGGAAACTGTTCTCGTGTTGGCACCAAGTTGGACCAGTTGGTTCAGGTTCTGGTTCAGGTACAGGTTCTGGTTCAGGTTCTGGTTCATCACAGACTGTCCAAGAAGTTTCACCGGTAGGGCTCCAGTCGTGTATTTCAGGTCCAACTCGTTGTGTATATCGGTTACTGTTGTAAGGCTCCTGAAAAGTTAAAAATTGTTTAAAAATGGAGATCTTTATACTCTGAAAAAACGTATACTTTAAGGTGGTACTTTAAATAGAATAATTGGAGAGCTAACTTTTTCAAAAATATTCGAATATTTTATATTTTAAAGCAATAAGCATATTATAAGTAAGTAATATTGAAAAAATGAGAGTCGTATATTATTAAATTGATTGTTTTAACAAACCTGAGTGATTCCATTACATTTGGCGTTCTCCAAACAAGCATTTTTAGCATCTTCTAGACTGTTGTAGGATGCTCCAGCATAGCTGTACAGGAAACTGTTCTCGTGTTGGCACCAAGTTGGACCAGTTGGTTCAGGTTCTGGTTCAGGTTCAGGTTCTGGTTCAGGTTCTGGTTCATCACAGACTGTCCAAGAAGTTTCACCGGTAGGGCTCCAGTCGTGTATTTCAGGTCCAACTCGTTGTGTATATCGGTTACTGTAGTAAGGCTCCTGAAAAGTTGAAAATTATTTAAAAATGGAGATCTTTAAGGTCGTACTTATAGAATAATTGGAGAGCTAACTTTTTCAAAAATATTTGAGTATTTTATATTTTAAAGCAATAAGCATATTATATGTAAGTAATATTGAAAAAAATAGAGTCGTATATTATTAAATTGATTGTTTTAACAAACCTGAGTGATTCCATTACATTTGGCGTTCTCCAAACAAGCATTTTTAGCATCTTCTAGACTGTTGTAGGATGCTCCAGCATAGCTGTACAGGAAACTGTTCTCGTGTTGGCACCAAGTTGGACCAGTTGGTTCAGGTTCAGGTTCAGGTTCAGGTTCAGGTTCAGGTTCAGGTTCAGGTTCAGGTTCAGGTTCAGGTTCAGGTTCAGGTTCAGGTTCAGGTTCAGGTTCAGGTTCAGGTTCAGGTTCAGGTTCAGGTTCAGGTTCTTTACATGCTTTAATGCTGCAACCTGCAGCGATGACCTGATCTTCCAGTGCTTCGCATTTCTTAGCGGGTCTTTTCTTAATTTTTTTATCTTCTATTTTGCAACCTTCGAGAGATTTTGGAGAGAAGCCTTTCTTGAAACACTTATTGATCTTTTTCTCCAACTTCTTGCATTTTGATTTGGACTTATCCTTTTTGCCTGTAGTGAGGGCAACACAAGCCAGCACAACAACGAGAAACAGAAAGAACCGCATCGTGATGTAGCGTGCTAGATTAAAGTGAGGATTACAAAGTTATTACAACAAAAATCAATTTTTGAGTTACGTAATTCTTAAAACTTAATCAAAATTTTATGAACAAGTGTCCCTCCCTCCCTCCCCGCTCATTGTTTTTGCCGCCCACCTTAAATTTGTCTGAAAACCTAAAAAATTCAGGCCTTTTTTTTGCCGCCCCTACAGCTTTTTGCCGCCCCATAATCCATGGAATCATTTTGTACCCTCAAATACCGGACGTTTAAGTGAACTGGATAATACACAAATCGGACGTTTGAAAAACTCTAACATTCGGGAAAATGCTGCCCCACTGTGTAGCGGGGGTAGCGGGGACGGTCTCTACGCCACTCCTGTCAACGTGCCAAGGGGTGTAGGAAGAGGGGGGGGGGGGGGGGGGCGACCGCCCCCCCATAAAATCTTGGCAAGGGGCGGAAAGGCCGAAAGGGGCCAACATTTTTTGGCTCATTTGGCCAATCTGCAAATTGCATTATCCAAATTGCCTTACTGCTAAAGACTTAGAGTGGTCCAAATTTATATTCTTCATTGCTAGAATTCCTTCCTTTAAAGCAAATTGTCCAAAAAAATTGCAGAATCTCTCTTTGCACCTTTTTTGAGACCTATTAATTAAAGTATATTTTCAAAATTTAAAGGACTTTATCGTTTGACCCCTAAACAGGAAAGCCAAAATCTTGCTTGATTTATAATTTCACTTTGTGATTTTACATTGCTATATTTCAATCGTGAAAGCAAACTTTCTGAAATTCTTCCAAAGAATACAATATGGGAGTGTTCACATATGATGTCAGCAAACAAGGAGGTAGGGGGGGGGGGGGTTTGGAAATGCTGACGGTCGCTGACGGGAGGGGGGAGGGGGGTCTGAGCATTGCTGACGTCAGCAGAAATGTAACGTGAATTTTGGCAAATATTTTTGTTTCAAATCAATTTTATTAACAATAAAACTTTGCTAATCTCCTTAATATTAGTACCTCGGTGAACTGAACTCTGTTGACCAACTGTTTAAATCAGTCGCATACTAATTTTTCCTGCCCACACCCATCAGCATTTCTATACGAAAAACTTACTAATCGTACTGATCAACTCAAGGCGTACTCAAAACGTGAAAAATCGAAAATAAGTTCAAAGTTTAGTACTAAATTATAAATGACATGGTTTATTAAGCATAGATGTGGTCAGTTTACTACCGCCCTCATCAGATACAAATTTCAATTGTGGCAGTGCAATTGTTTACTCACCTTCAAAGTTGTATCTATGTTGGTTTTGTACCCGTAAGCTCTTAATAATTTTTAAGTCTTTTTTTTCGGAGTCAGTCGATACTTTCCCTCATCGCATCATTTCCTAATACCACCTAGTCAAAGTAAATAGTATGGTTGACACTGAATGTTTCGCAGTCGCTGTTTAGAAATTCAGGCGCATAGCGCGCTACATTTTAAAAACTCTATAATTTTAGCCCCCCCCCCCCCCACAAAGAGATTTACTCCTACACCCTGAACGTGCCTCAACAGTGATCGAACTTTGACAAACTGAGTTCTGGTCCCCACCGCTCGGTTGGGTTATTGAAAAGTAATTAGGGGTGGTGTCACCACATGGGGCTGGCTCACCCTCACCAGGTTCCGCTGCATCATTGTTATCTGCTCATCATCACCTGTACTGTCTCTTTCTAAACATCTCTAATAATTGTTTTAATTATACAAACATTAGTCTACCTAGTTCAAACGTAGTCTAGAAACTTTCAATTACACACATGGAAAGTTGGTCAGACCAGTTGGCTGATTAAAAGAGAATTAAGGTTAGTGAGGAGCTAATGGTAACGAGATGAAAATAAACTGATAATTATTTGTCAGTTTATCTCCATATTATATCATTATTACTTTGCTATTTAAGTTCAGGTAGGCGAATTATCGCGGCTACTAACAGATCTCTTCTGTATTCCGAAGAAATTCAAAGATCAGTCAGTGCTAAATAAACAAATCGAAACTTATATGTTATACAACATTACGGAACATCTCAAATATACAACATGATATATCTAGCTATTTTATACAACATAAAACAAATAAAGGGACAAGACTCCATAAACAGTTGTTTGTTTGTTTGTTTGTTTATAGAACCCGTCCCCAATCTCGTATCGGAAAATTACAAAACTCAGTTCTGAGTGGGAATACGGGTGGTACCTGCAAGTGTGTTCATTAATTATTTAGATTTCTGTAAAACTGCAGTTACAATTGTGCTAGAGTATTTTTAGTATATTTACAATCGATGTCAGATCTTTATTCCTACATGTTTCCAAAATTTAAATCTCAAACTTTCTGCACAATGTACAGGAATGTTTGAAAGAAAAAAGAAAAAAAAGAAAGAAAAAGTGATAGTGAAATCAACGATTTAATTTTAGGAAGGTAATTTTAAATTACTGGTATGTGGTAGGGCCTCATGAGCTCATGTTTTGACGCCTCATCATCATCAAATATTCCACATCTTTACAAACTTAGAGATAGCTGTTACTGAGCTTTACAAACTTATTGTTACTGAGCTGGCAAGTAGCAGTTTTATAGAGATCTTAACAATTGGATCTTAATAAGAGCACCGAAGTAGTTAAGTTTAGAAGTTTGCCAAGTCTGGAAAGTTGGCAACTCTCAACTCTGCACCGATACAACTGGAGTACAATTAAAGAGGAATTTAGTAGAGGCTAATTTAGTAGAGGCTAAATTTAAGAGATTGACTACTATTATAAGTGGTGGGTGTTCACTGTTCAGTGTTCGTATATTTCATGAAGAATGCAATGATTATAGTGTCACTTATGAGGAAAGAGTAATATAGTTTATATAGGTGATAGAGGAATACTACTTAAAATAAACCACCGAATTTTGACAATTGTTTTCATCACAGATTACATATTATTAATAATGTTACATTTTATATCAGTATTGACCATAAGTCAACTCTTAACTAAGGGGTCGTTTACATATTACGTAATCAGCCGAGGGGAGGGGAGGGGGTTTTCAAATGCTTATGGTTGATTACAATTTTTTAAAACCCTCTAGAATAACAACAATTTGACAATATTTTAATTCAAATTCCACTCAAAAAGAAAGAAAAAGTGATAGTAAAATCAACGATTTAATTTTAGGAAGGTAATATTAAATTACTGGTATGTGGTAGGGCCTCATGAGCTCATGTTTTGACGCCTCATCATCATCAAATATTCCACATCTTTACAAACTTAGAGATAGCTGTTACTGAGCTTTACAAACTTATTGTTACTGAGCTGGCAAGTAGCAGTTTTATAGAGATCTTAACAATTGGATCTTAATAAGAGCACCGAAGTAGTTAAGTTTAGAAGTTTGCCAAGTCTGGAAAGTTGGCAACTCTCAACTCTGCACCGATACAACTGGAGTACAATTAAAGAGGAATTTAGTAGAGGCTAATTTAGTAGAGGCTAAATTTAAGAGATTGACTACTATTATAAGTGGTGGGTGTTCACTGTTCAGTGTTCGTATATTTCATGAAGAATGCAATGATTCACTCTAATAGTGATCAAATTTAGAAATTGATCGAATATCCGGCTATAATAGTATAAGTAAGTAGTTTAATGTAGTAATAATAAGAGAAGAAAATAAACTGATAATTATTTGTCAGTTTATCTCCATATTATATCATTATTACTTTGCTATTTCAGTTCAGGTAGGCAAATTATCGCGGCTACTAACAGATCTCCTCTGTATTCCGAAGAAATTCAAAGATCAGTCAGTGCTAAATAAACAAATCAAAACTTATATGTTATACAACATTACGGAACATCTCAAATATACAACATGATATATCTAGTTATTTTATACAACATAAAACAAATAAAGGGACAAGACTCCATAAACAGTTGTTTGTTTGTTTGTCCCCAATCTCGTATCGGAAAATTACAAAACTCAGTTCTGAGTGGGAATACGGGTGGTACCTGCAAGTGTGTTCATTAATTATTTAGAGTTCTGTAAAACTGCAGTAACAATTGTGGTAGATTATTTTTAGTATTTACGATCGATATCAGATCTCTAGCCCTACATGCTTCCAAAATTTAAATCTCAAACTTTCTGGCACAATGTACTGGATTGTTTGAAAGAATAAAAATAAAAATAAAAAGTGATATAGAAATAAAATCAACGATTTAATTTTAGGAAGGTAATATTAATTCCCTGGTTTCTTTAAGTCAGCTTTAAAGTCGGAGAATCAAAGTATGCATATGTAACGTCGTTACCAAACCGATTATTGAGCGATGATAGCTAATTAGTTGATTCCTGGGTTGCAGAGTCCTCCTGATTCCTCAGTCTTTGAATGTGGTTTTTGTTCTTGTTCAGTTCTGTCCATATTTCCTCGTGTTATGTTCAAAGTTTTAAAGTCTCATGTTGTCCTGTGATGGTAATTTCTAATGCGTGCAATTTATGGGCTAATGTGTTTTAGCGAGTACAGAGTAGCGTAGCTTGAAGATTTAAAATGATGATCGTGTCGTGTGGCAGGTTAAAGGTTGGATAAGTTGATAAGGTGAAAAGAAAATTATGGATAATCAGGTGATGCAGGCACGTGGAAGATCGTAGGAGAGGTTTTTCAGTAAAATAGAATTAGATGATAGGAAAGTGGCTAAACTGTGCAAGTGTTGAGGTGTAATTGCCGAGGTGCTGTAGGGTGCTGTAGGGTGCTTCAGATACTTTATTATCGTACAAACACATATATAACAGGTCACATTTAGAGGGTATAATAAAATTTATATATGCACAAAAGCTGTAGAATATCTGCACGATGTGAGAAGTATTTTTCCTGAAGCACAGGCTTTCATCAAGGTATTAGTAACTCAATTTCACTCGGATGCACCTATTTTATCTTGGGCATAATCCTACAGGATGCTTTGAAGTTGGGTTACCAAATCGCGATTGACACGGACTGAAAATGTGTCTTACTCGGCTTCTGATTGACCAATTGAGGTCAACGAACCCGTCAAAATGACCGGAATGGGCACACTAATGTGGGCGAATAAAGGTCCCAAACTTTTTATTTTTTGAGTTATATAATTCCTCTTTTATTTTTTGAGTTATATAATTCCTCTGTATTCTGAAATTTGAAATAAGAATTATATCTGTAGCTATCTTGAAAGATTTGGGCTGGATTGGTTCAGTGATAATGAAGACATTAACTGAGTTTAACTCGTAAGGCTTTTGATGAAGACCCCGGCCCCTTTAACTCGTTCTAGGCTTTAAGTAAGTTATTTTAATTTTGATAAAACTTAGGAAGGGAAAAAGGAATACAAACACGATAGGTTTTAGTTAAGTCAACACCAATTAATGTATATTTTTATCGGCTGGCTAGAAGTTATCATTTAAAAATCGATATCAATATCCATTGTAATGATACTACATATGGTATCAAATCTTATAAACTGGTATATTTTGTGACTGGTATATTTTGTGACTGTTAAACCTCTGTTTTAATATTCCTGCTCCTTGTTGTTGAACTGTTATTCCCATGAAATAGCCACGGCGGTATATTGCTCAATCTCATTGTTTGTAAGGGTCTTCTTCGTAACTCATTACTCAGCAACCATCTCTTTGTTTACGTCCATCTTAAACGTCTACACTCCAGACGCATGAAATAACTACCTGAGGTAGTTTAAGTTTGTGTAATTGTTGAGAAGTAGTTACTACCTCTCAACAATTACACAAACTTAAACTGTCTACTTACCAGCCGTACATTATAGGAACGAAATCTCTTGTAGATACAGAAACTAGTAATTGATATAACCATATTATCTGATTTATATTGCTATAACAGTGCTGGCAAGCGCGACTATCTTTTTACACATTACAAAAGTAGGAGCTGTTTGCTGGTGGTTGAAACTATCACTGAAATACCTGAATTTCTCTCCAATGAATCGAGTGATCTGAACTCTCAATCCTAAAATATTGTAATATGCAAGGCTGATAATATATTCCTAAGCAGCAAATCAAGACCCCAACAGAATTCTTCCCTTCTAACAATTCTGTTCAGCCCTAAATTGGGGCAAAATGGAGTATTATATGTACTAACGGGATCTTAATATATATGTGAATTCTGGTGAGACGAGGCTTTATTTGACACGTGAAAGTGATTCTGAGTTTCATTGTTCAATAGTGGAAGCTAATTGGTTCACTGCTGTACAAAATGCCTCTCTCCCCCACCAGAATCCACATCTATATACCCACCATCTTGATTATGGTTTATTAACAGAATTTTCAGTGCGTTGTTTTTTCCTGAAATTATTTCGGATTGTTTTTTATTATCCATATTATTTTTTCTGGTCAAGCAGAAAATCGATTATTGAACAACAAATTCTCGTCAAGTACATTACATCACGTGACACGCGGCACGTGTAAAAGATTAATAAGATGCGTGCACGCGAAATACAACTTCACTTGTAAACGTATGATATCTCAGCATTGGTTGAGCGATTGCACTACCAATTATTCAAAAGAAGCAGCATCATACGATTTCTTACTTATAAATTCTAAATATTTCATTATGTATATAACATCTTAATGCATGATTTCTTCAATGAATGTTTTCACGGAATGCCAGCTCACCAGCTGGCGCTTGGCATCAGGAATCAAGATTCTCACAATCTCCCCCTAGTTCGGTGGTAGAGTTGTCCGTGGTAACAGGCCGACTTTACTGCTGTTATATTGCCGTTATGCTGCATAAAGACAGAGATCATGTGTTTGTTCCCGAGTAACTAAATCACAGAATTGGTGAAAACTTGAATAACATAGCTGTATATTTAGAGTGAAGGTTTATAAGAAAAGTATAAGAAAATGGTTTAAGTCGTTTGTATACGTGTCAGTGGCGAGACGTAACTATGTTACTAACTAATTAGTTAGTAATTAGTTAGTAATTAGTTAGTAATTAGTTAGTAATTAGTGAATAACACACAATCTTTTCAGGAGTGACAGTGTATTGGACAAGGAATTGTGGGAGACACAGAGGAAGTTGAGAAATAGTTGCCTCTACATGGGACCTTATTATCCGGGAACCGGGGCGTGGTCCGCTGCTCAGTGAGGAGGACACTTGTTAGATTAAATAACTTGTTTGGAACTTGCTCGGATTTAGATTTATGATCCTATGACTTGATGTGAATGATTTAATATTGAGAATTTTGTTTAGAACGTGTATAAAGTGTATTATATAGATAAGATTTGTGTTTTTGTCTAGAAGTGATCCGTTTTGTGTAAATAAATTATTTTTCTTTTATTTATGATTCCCATTACATTGTTTTATTATTGCTTTAATTGATAGCATATTCAGTGCATATCATGTATATTATTCAATAAATTATCTCTCCAATTAAGATACTCCTCCATAATATAAATTTTAACCTACATCTAAACTCTACTGCCTTATCATACCTTTCTTAATGCTAGGTAATGTCGTCTTGGAACGAACTTCTAGACTTCGTTAAGAATGACAGCGATGTAAACCCTTCCTTCCCAGAACACCACGTGTCAGAACAGGTGACCGACCCCTCCCAGCTGCCAGCCTTTAACACAGACAATCTGCACATTAAACTACCTGACGGTGTAGAGTTCACAGTAAACAGAGAGGGGTATCTGCCCGTTACTTTCAACAGATTAAAGTGGGCCAATAGTCTGTCAAATGAGAGCTTATTTAGATCTCTAGGAGTTGGTCTGATACCTGATCAACAAGACGGGGAAAATAAAGAGGACGTGACTTCAGAGGAAGGTGCAAAGACAGATTCTTAGAACTGATAGGACCCTTTAAATGTAGACTTTTTACTTTTGTTATATCCACGTCACAGCCGATGATACAGCCGATTAAAATCGCACTCAACACAACAAAACCGATCAAAATGCTCGCAAATCTTTGCACGTGCGCGTTCACCAAGGTTACCATGGTTACTACACAACTTTTATTTGTTTACCTAATTTGCACGTGGGCGGTCGTACAGACATACAGACAGAGATACAAAGATAATCTTCAGAATTGTAAGTAAGACTAGAAAGCCCGTGGTCACATGGAGGAAGCTAATAATATTCTTTGGTAATCAGTTTTTATAGCATCAAAAAATATCCATCACAACCGAAAATAAATTACACATAAATCCCTTGCTCCTTCATAAATCTAACCAAGTATGGAATCGACCCTTTAAATAACGGCCTAAATTATGGCTTTTGAGGTACATCAACACAAAATTCTGAAATTAAGAAAAAGTTCAAACAACAGACCAGTTTTTGAATTTTGTAATTTTTCAGAAGTAAAGTTATGACCCGTTGAAAAATATTGATTTCATCATAAAATACACATAAAATTTCGAACACGCCAATAATTCTGACACCCTGCTGTATATTTTACATTAGATAAGTTCGACCGGATGAATGTGCTTGCAGATTAATATCATAATAAGAAATTCATTTATCATTTCATAACATTAATTTGCTATGTGCACGTTAAAACGTTGCCCTGAAATATACTGGAAGAGAGTTAAAATTGAATACTGAGAATTCCTTCTGCAGCTGGCGCCGAATGCAAATTGGTCAGTTCAAGTAGCGCTAAATCGCGCGCAGTGCACTAGCTAGACTGCACATATCTTAATTAACTTATGCCCTCGAAGCCGCGCACATGTGCGAACCTAAATTGTAGGGACTACGGGTGGAAGATGAATAATTGAAATTCCAACAGCAACTTGTTCCCTTCATTCTACGGAAGGGGAACATTCTCATAACAGGAGTGTCAACCTACTCGTAAGTAGCCCTAACACAATCCTAAAATACCGTTAGTTCATCCTAAAACCGCTATAAAGACTTGAAATAACGCTTATAGAAGTCCCGATACAATCCATTGGGAGTCCTTCTCGATATTGGTTGTTATCCGTATTCGTTTGAATCTTTAGCACATATTTGGATAAATTTCTTTCGTCTTCTCAACTCGAGATCTTTCCTTCGTAAGCCCGCTCATTGGCTGTGAACTAGAGGCTTCGTTATTTACAAAAACTGAGATTATGAAGAGATTGCGGTGCCAGCCGTTACCTGGGGACCCCAGGCTGTAATATTCACAAACAGTGAAGCTGAGGCGGAATGACAAGCTGGGATGAGCGCGGCCCAGGAATACCAGCCGTTAAGCAGCTCAGCTTATTGTACAAATTGTATTACAATTGATAGCATGATTCAAATTTCAAGTACGTTACACGAGAGTATGATAATTATGACCAGTTTATTCTTGTTCAGCGTCATCGAAAATGTAGCGTTACAAGGTTTTCCCTTCGATTTTCATCCATAAAAAATCCTTCTATTTTCGATTCTCTGAGCCAGCTGTTTGCTGGGTTTCAGAAGGTGGTACCAGATGCTGTTATAATTGAGCGTTCAGCTCCTCTAATTGGGTCCAATTACACACGAAACACTGTATTACTCCATATAAGGCCTGATCAAGTAACTTGAGCTCTGGTGACGTCACAAAATATCCTAGTCGGCATACGACACGTTACGAATGTGATCACGTGCTCGAGGATTAACGAATCAAGGTCACGTGATAGGACCGACTGTCACGTGACCTCAGTTATCCCTTATATGGCACAAGGAGCTGCAATTGATCAGCTCTTAATTGGGCTGCAATCATTGACAGGCCTATAATTACCCAATTTTAAATGAACGATATCTCATTCTACAAAATGATGAGAGCGTAAACAGAATGCTTCACGGAATCAGCACAATGAAGGGAACAAGATGCTGTTGGAATTTCAATTATTCATCTTCCACCCGTAGTCCCTACTAAATTGATCCCCAACCCGAATCTAGCTGCAAATGCATAATATACATGATATAATGATTCCTCAAAATGGAGACATTTTCTCACTTTCAGATATCGCCCGAAACAGCCTTAAACTGATCTATCATATAAGTAATCAGTTCTAATATGACAGGAAAGTGTTTTGAACCGGTGAAATATGCCAAAAATTTAAATTCTGAAAATTTCCAAAACATCGTTGGGAACCAAATTTCCAAGATAAAAAGAAATTTTAACTGTCCTAATACATCAGGGAGGGCGTTTACAGCTATCATTATATCTGCAAATATCGTTTATACTTTATGTCTGCGACTTTGCATGATCTTGAAATGAATGTACTATGCCACAAACTCCTGATGAAAATATCTTGGAACAGGATTTAGGATGTGGCACGGTATCGGATAATACTTATTTCGTCGAAAAAGTGCCATATATTTTATTCAATTTACAAGACAAACAAGGTTTATAAGATATTGAATATGATTCTCTGACAGTTTTGTAATTAATTTATACAAAATATTTGTTGGGAATGAATTTTAGCTATTGATGCATATTAAATTTGGTTGAAAACTATTTAAATTACATAATTTTGTTGGAATTCCAGTCTATCAATCGCTTCCTTGTCTGAAACGCTGCCCTACCAATCATCTCATCGATAGCGGGGGTGCATGCGAAGCCGTATATTTACTACCAGGATACGTGGCCGTACTAGTATCAAAAACTATTTTCCCATCCAAAGTATTGACTGCCGCTCTCAAATATGACAATGAGATAGTTATATTTGTCCTGAATGCAGTTCCAGCTGTCGAGTCATGACCATAATGATTCGTCAACAATCAATGTTCTCATACAGTCACAAAATATCGGAATCTAGGCGGGATTCTCTGTATTTTCCAGATCCGCTTCTTGAGGTGCAGCGCCCCCTTCTTCAGTGTAGTTTGGGGCTTCGTTATCTTGCACTATCGGTGCCTGTTCCTCGCTCTTACCTCGAGAAATAGCGGCTCCGAGAGCACAGAGCAGACAGCACATCAGGATTATCATGACATACACCATGGTTATCATGAAGAAAGCAAGCCAATACACCCAAGCGTTACAATAGTTGGGGTTCGGGATTTTTCCGGCTCCTTTTAACACCCTCATTTCTTCATCCGTCTCTACTTTCTTCAGCGACCCGTACACCCACACATTTCCTGTCGTAACCGAACATCAACATTTTCAAGGTTATAATAATTGTAATATTCTTGAGTAGAAAATGCAAAACATACTTAGAGACTAAAGAGTGCCCATATCCAAATTTCAATAACTGTTTACTACGGCGTATTTACTGATTTCATTCTCCATAAATGTGATAACATTGCATGTATTTTAATAATCTGCGACTTGCCAGCGATGAAGAATCCAAACCAGACGAGAGTTAGAGGGATCTGGAGACAAGCAATACAACGCTGAGTCTTGATGTCCTCCACTCCAGCACATTGTCTCCACAAACCCAGGGAGGAGGAGATAACACCTATTATACCAACTGCTATCTGGAGGAGATAACACCTATTATACCAACTGCTATCTGGAGGAGATAACACCTATTATACCCACTGCTATCTGGAGGAGATAACACCTATTATACCCACTGCTATCTGGAGGAGATAACACCTATTATAGCAACTGATATCTGGAGGAGATAACACCTATTATACCAACTGCTATCTGGAGGAGATAACACCTATTATAGCAACTGATATCTGGAGGAGATAACACCTATTATACCAACTGCTATCTGGAGGAGATAACACCTATTATACCAACTGCTATCTGGAGGAGATAACACCTATTATACCCACTGCTATCTGGAGGAGATAACACCTATTATACCCACTGCTATCTGGAGGAGATAACACCTATTATAGCAACTGATATCTGGAGGAGATAACACCTATTATACCCACTGCTATCTGGAGGAGATAACACCTATTATAGCAACTGATATCTGGAGGAGATAACACCTATTATACCCACTGCTATCTGGAGGAGATAACACCTATTATACCCACTGCTATCTGGAGGAGATAACACCTATTATACCCACTGCTATCTGGAGGAGATAACACCTATTATACCAACTGCTATCTGGAGGAGATAACACCTATTATACCAACTGCTATCTGGAGGAGATGTGATAATATCGCAATGTAGTGTAGTATGATAAACAGCCCAAACAGGTACATTATACAGTACAGGTAAAAACAGATAATTTATGTTAGCAGTGATGTGCAGGGGATACATTTTAGGAGGGCGATTATCAGGGTTGAAGTACCAAAATTTTGATTTTGTATCATGTAAACTACCCTTTATCGCAACTAAGAGAATTAATGCATTTTCAGGTTAATTATTAGAAGCCCTGAATAAAAATGGAAATCCAACAGCTAGATGGATGATAGTTATCAGATATAATATGCTGCCGGCTGGAAACGGTCTCCTAGTGGCTGGTCAACTGGTAAGGTATGTAGTATAGATTGTTGTATAGTTGTATCTTGGTTCGTACTGCGAAAAGACTCATAATTACAACATCGCCAGCTGTTACGATGCGTGGTCCTCGGATAAATTTTTGAAGTACGTCTTACAGGTTATCAATAACAAGAATTGCGCCCGTTGTTTCGTTTTGGCGGACGCTAGATTTCCATTTCACATTTACTATAAATTTAAGTATAAGCTCCAATCAGCTCACTTCAATCTTCATGATAATAATATTGATAAATTATGCATCAAATACGGGAAACACTTGAAATTCAGTTCAATTGCCGTAGAACTTAACTTGTATCTGTAATTCAAGAAATTATCAGCAAAGGTAAACTATACTCGTGTACACATCAATACACTACGCGTGCCACGTACAAATTGGGCGTATTACCTAATAGTAATATTATACATTACATGCATCATATCGATGGTGCACTTTTTGCTTTTTCAGCAAGGGGCTTAAGCCTATTGAGGACGAAATTCATGTTCTAACTGACTGTTTACTCTACTCCTCAGTTAGAGAAAAATTTAACTTCCATCCCAAAAATATTACTGACCTAGCCGGTTTGCTATCCGATAAAACACTAGACCCTACAAAATTTACTGCCACAGCAAGAGCAATCCATTCAATTCTCTCTGTGAACGAAAATTTTACAGCCTACTATAAGAGCCCAGATTTCCACTCAAATACTGGCCAATGCATAATGCTATAGGACCTCAAAAATAGTATTATATTAAACATTTCTATTTTATCCCTACACATCTGTAAATAACTAGAATTGTGTAACCTTAAATTATTTCAGAATCATAACTATTGTGAATTCAATAAAATAATTATCACTTTTGTATCCTTGTATCCTTGTATCCTTGTATCCTATACATTAAAACACAGTCGCGCCGCGCATTCATAAATCACAGGCTATCTATACATCACATCTCCGCAAGCAATCCTCGCGCGCGCCCAACTTTTTCGTTGCATGGTAACGAACGGAAGGAAGGAAGGAAGGACACACGACATATTTAAACCCACCTATCTCGTTCTCCAAAATCCACGTTTTTCTGCAAAAACCTCCATTCGTAACCTTTCACTATTGCCTTTTTTCAAAAGGGTGAAAAGGAAAAAATCTTTAGCGAAAACGTGTCAAATAGAAAGCAAGTTGCTTAGAGACAGTAAATCTTGATAAGTCTCGTTGAGACATTATAGCATGAGCTACTGATGTATTTCAAAATTATGACCCTAATTTATTGTAAATTCCCCCATACTTTGCAACTTAGTACCCTCGACAAAGCTACTTTCTGCTCAGTGGGTTGGTTAGTGTAATTTGCTCGTCAAAATTAACAGGTCACTCAATAAATAATGGAAATGGAATGTCATTGTCACTAACCAGGACTATGCTTTAACAAACGAAACCTGAACCTATTCTATAAACCACGGTCAATCGTCACAAGTTGCCGCAATTACCTGCCGTCCTTATCAATAACAAGATAAACAAAAGAACAAAAGCTCACTCTAATCGCCTACTCCAGTATAAATATTACCTCACAACCCCCCTCATCATCAGTTCACAGCAACTTCCAGTTCAGTAACACTACTACTATGAGGACCTCACTTCTTCTAGCTCTCACCATCACCCTCGCTGCTAGCGAATCTCTGGTGGAAGAGTATTTCAAAGCGATGGAGAAGTATCACGGAACCACACAAGGACTCATGTCTGCTGGAGATGGAACGACAGAACGAGAGAGATTCCTCAACTTCAAGCAGTACAAAGCAGAGATAGACCATATTAACGGAGACGACAGTATCCCGTACAGTGCGGAGGTGAACATGTTCAGCACCCTGACTGAAGCAGAAAGGAGGCAGTACACCGGTCTTAACATATCCGAGTATGCGGAGGAAGAGACAGATATGCACCTCTCTACTGAACCAATCCTTCCAACTAGCTCTCAACCCACATATGTTGACTGGGTGTCGAGGGGAGCGAACCCTCCGATGAAGGATCAGAGAGGTTGTGGAAGTTGTTGGGCATTTGGTACCGTTTCTGCCATCGAGAGTACCTATTATCTGACTACTGGAGATCGGATTTCTTTTGCCGAGCAAGAACTTTTGGACTGCACATACGAGAGAGAAGGGAGGGATGGATGCAAAGGAGGATGGTTGAGCCAACCTATTGACTACGTCAAACAGGCCCGACGTTTAGCCAACAGCAGAGATAAAGTTTACAAAGAAAGAGACGGCTCCTGCTCCTACTCCAGAGTTGCCAACTCCCTGACCAAAGCCAGAGTTACCGGTTACCAAACATACAGGGGAGACTCAGGTTTACTCTCTGGTGTCACCAAGGGGATCGTCTCCGCTGCTATCTACGTCGGCAGTACCTTCCACGTGTACAAAAACGGCATCTACCAGGACGTCTCAGGATGTTGGGGTAAACAACCAAACCACGCAGTCTCAGTGGTAGGATACGGAAATACAGGAGGTAATAACTACTGGAGAGTGAGGAACAGTTGGGGTACCCAGTGGGGAGATGAAGGCTACATCAGGATCTCTAGAGACGTCTCCAGCAACTGTGGGATCTCTGACTACGTCTACCGGCCGGTAATGCAGTGCACCGGGAATTGTAACCCTCCAAAGTTCAACAAACAGGAACAGGAACAGTTCAACGACAACTCCGGATCAGAGTGCAAGAATCTGAGCAGGGATGTGTACTGTGGGAAGTTCACTAGGTACTGTAAGAAGGGGAGCAAGTATCACCGCTTCATGACTAAGAACTGTAAGAAAACTTGTAGTCTCTGTGAGGATAGTAATAGTGGGAAATGTCCTACGGGCACTGTGAGGTGCTCTGATGGGATCTGTAAACATGAACATATGTGCCAATTTCACGGGGTTTAAGAAGTTGTCGTAGTCTTCTCTCAGGAAGCTGTTTTGTTAGTGTAACTGTGTTTATGATAATACGTGTGTTTATTATTTTTATCGTTTTTTTTCTCCAGAGTTTCCCCCGTTTGCCAAATTGATATGGAGGATCTTTTATTGTGTTTGTTGATGTTTTACTTACATGTATTGTTATACAGTGATATAAATTTGTAAGCCATTTAATAATTATTAACATAAACTTGTGTCAGTATTGTCAACGTGTTAAGTTCAAACCAACAAAATTACTTCAATAGCAATAGAAATGAATGTAACAAAATGGATAAGTAATACAATATCGAATTAGATATGTCATATGACTATTTTGCTCTCGGTCCCCATTAAAATGTCCACTGACTGGACTTACCAAGTAGATGGGTATCATACTATTAACAGGACAGTCGTCTATCTTAGCTACACCTATAATAACAGCTAGGAAAGGTACCAGAAGTGCTATCACCATTAGACAAGTTCCTGTGGAGTTGTGGTTATAGTTTGTTGAGGTAAGTACAGAATCAAGTAAAGTTTTGTGGAGATTTGACATTTGCCGGGTACTGTCTATGATACTGACTATCTGGATCAATTGACAATTGATTCGATCAAACAATCCGATTGTTCAGCAATTTGGGCGTGTTTTATAAAAACAATTCGTAACCAATAAAATGCATTACCACAAGCGGTGACCGACGTTATTGTTGCCATGGTGATGAAGTATTTAATCCATCCGTCTGAGTTATGACGGGCTTCCCTGGCCTGAAATAAAAACTATATTTACTCGGCGATATCATATCATCATATTCCAGTTGGGAATTTTGGGAAAGTAAAAGAGTCATCTTGTTAAAAAGACGTTGCGTAGATGTCTTAGAAGAACTTTTGCATTGGTGTGCACTGTGCAGTCATAGGTCCCATTTCAATAAAAGCTCTACAATTTCAACCTGTTCCCAGAATCCCTTCTTGGGACCCTGTTCATCCGTCATGTTTACTAAATACTGTTACTAAATTTAGTGCTGAATTTCTGCCACTGTGATTCTTCATGCGCAGGAAATCTCCTCTTCGTTCAACTTATAGTTAATAAAGCAGTTTTGGACAAAGTTACTTTTCGATCAATGAACCATTACTACAAACTCAAGCAACAAGAGATAGCTAGAAGCAAATTACAGAAAAGTCTCCAGTAAAATTATGATGTGTACTCTAAGGTGGCAGATGCTGAGTGAGTCATGATATGAGCGTTTCATTATTATCTCCTCTTTTGGTGTTTCTAACACTTACGAGCTTAGTTGTAGTGAACGGTGGATTTTGACGTATTGAACGCACGTTCCAGTCATTTTGTAGTGAACGTTATTGAACGTTTTTAGTGAACGTCAGTGATTATCAAAAACAAAAAATTATGAAAATAAACTTTTTGAAATCTTAATTTCCCCAACTGATAATTATTAATTTTCCCAAAATGAAGCAATCCTATTTCTGTGCACAAAAGATTAAGATTAAAAGGGTAATATTATTATCAATAAGTTATAAGGTACACGTACTCAAGTTCGACACGCACTCTATAGTTCGACACGTACTGTAGTTCGACAAACCCTAAGGTTCGACTCTGTCGAACCAAAGCGCGCTACCTCAACCTGGACTCAAGTTCGACAGTCGACACGTACTAAAGTTCGACAAGAGAACTTCGACTGTCGAACTAGAGTTTTGAAATCTCCGGTCTCAAGCAACGATCCTTTACGAGCTTGTAATCTATTCGTTTGCTTTCCACTTGTCTCATGCTGTTCAATTATGTGTGAATGTAATCTCTATAATGCATATTCCATATCTATGAACATTTAATTGTCCTCTACTCATAAGTTAATTGTTAGTTAGCAGAACTGTAGACTTAGCGGAGAGATAAAAGACTAACGTAGTAACTCGTACTCCGTTTTATAGATCTAGATTGTAGAGTACGCTATATTGTATATAAATATCAACCACATACCATACTTTTTATTATCACAAACGACTAGTAACCGAGTACCGGTCTAGAGATTTGGCTGCTGAATCGAAAATAGTCGGATATCAATCTATTTCCTGTTAGCTAGAGACCAGAACTGAGTGGCAAACAGGAGAATTAAAACTATACTGAAAGGTTCTGGAATTTCTAACCGCTCATGGTTGCTAGATGTCAGAAAATTTGTTTATCTGCCATTGAACCCTGTGATCCTATGAATAGGGCCCAGCAATAGCCATTGGATCACAAGCATAAACTATTTGTCGAACTAGAGTACGCTACCTGGACTCTAGTTCGACAGGTACCGAAGTACGGCAGGGGCGATATCTGGCGAAATTAATTTGTCGAACTATAGTGCGTGTCGAACTAGAGTACGTGAATCCTACTGAACACCAGTAGTAATTTATCCATAACGTTCAGAACGTGAGATGAGTTTTAGTGAACGTATGTACAGAATATTTTTAGTGAACGTTCCGTACGTGCATTACAACTAAGCAGTTACGAGACTTGTAAGTGTTAAACACAAGAAAATAACACAAGAAAAGAACAATTAATGTCCTTTATTTATGTCTGAAGATGCTTATTTTAGAGCAGCCCTCTGCCCTCTCGTTCACCTGGTAGCGGTAGTCTGGCTCACAGAGAAATTGTCATATGACCTGGGTGCTGACTGCTGGGAGAAGTTTTTACTTTCAGTTCTGAAACTAAAAAACGTCACCCAGACGTTGTGGTACACTGTCAGTAGTGCGGAAGCTGGAGCCAATTAGGTAAAATTCCCAACGTCTATTATTATGGTTTTGCTTCTCGAGAAGAAATGGGTGAAATGCGCGTAAATTCTTAAGAATTGTCTTAACAAGATACTTACAGTGAAACTCTACTCAGCAATCAGCATTAACTCAGAAGTTTCATTAAAACAACCGCTTTCGTCTTTGTTATGACGAGTATATCCGACTCTCAAAACTGAGCACTAACTTACAGGATTTCTTAAAATATGGAAATAACGATCCGCACCTTTGTTACCAACTCGTGTAGTAAGGCCCTTACGGTAAAATATTTTGCTAATTTTAAATGTGCAGTGCCAGTAACACTCACATTGTAGGCCATAATATGTAAGCCATACCCAATCGCATATTATCCCCGTAACACTTAGGCCTAGGGCAGCAAAGAAATTTTTTGCTATGATGTTAAGATATTTGATGAGATATGAAAATAAAAGCATATGCTGGAAGGAAGATAATTATAATATTGACATGTTAACCTCAAAATATTTCAATATCAACAATCCAAATTCTTTACATATTTCAGTTTCTGTCAAAACGATACACAAATAACCAAAACAAAGAGCCCACCGGATCAACAATTTTTAATTTTTAACTTCATAATTTTGCGGTTTTTCTTCAAAAATTACACAGCAAAAGTTGGTGCTATAAAAATTAAGGCATATAAAATAAGTTCACATTCAACCCGTCTAACTACAGTCAAACCCCGATGAAAAAAACCCCAAACACGGACGAAGGCAAATTTCCGGTAGGTAAGTCTCCCAATCTTATCGTCCTCATCTTCACTGACTTTTGCCTCTAAGCAGGACTGTTTTGCCTCTACGCAGGACTGTCACTACGAGCTGCAGTAAGTGGAGTGGTCTCATCTATCACCCCTTTACAGCACAACTTGATACAGCAGGCTAGGAGGCACCAGGCCATCAGACTGAACAGGCCTATAATGGTGAGGGCGGTGTTGATGGTGATGGTACAGAAGGCCACCCAGTACACCCACGGGTTGCAGTACTCGTCATTGTTTAGGAAACGTTTCCTTGTTTCCACCTCCTCCCATGCCCCGTACACCCAGATGTTGCCTGATGAGAGTTGACTGGAATTATTGGTTAAACTTGGACTGAAATTAATTAGAAGGTCTAACACGGAAATGTAGAAATTTCTAAAATTGAAATATCTAAAAAATTTACCAGCGATAAAAAATCCAACGGCTGAGAGGCTCAAGAGAATTCTGAGCCAGAGCTTGATATTGGGAAAATCGCATTGTTCGCAGCCCATCTCAAGCACCAACCAGCCAATATACAGCCCTCCGGTTGCTATCTGTGGAGCCCAAAGTTATTTGTCGAATTGTCGCTTTGAAAGCGTCGTAAGATACTAAGATATATAAAGCTTTATTAAATATTTTGTCCGAACGGCAAACCAAACTTTAAGTCTGATCAACTATAGCCCTTATCGACTGATCATTACTCCGGCGTTTGAATTTTGTGAAAACCCGAAGTCCAAAGAAAGAAGAGTCCAACGAAGACGTTACTTACCAGGTAAATGGGGATCAGACAATTTATAGGACATTCGTTGAGATGGGTGATGCCAATAGCCATCATCAGAGCTACCAATGCAACCACGAACAGTTGGAAACCCACTTTAAAGGTGATAGGTGCCATGTTGTTACAGTAAGTAGCCAGATCATCAGACCCCGTCCGGGCATTTCGCGCCTGCCAAACAATTTGTTAGGTTTCACAAGAACCTGGAACCAAAGATCATAGATAAATTGAGCACTTTGTGCTGAGCTTGTTTGAACCCTCAATAATTAAGACTAAAAAATTGTTCATTTCGATTCCGTTATTTGATGGCAATACTTAATATAGCTATTAGTTACTAACCCTAGTAAAGATGCTGTCTCGCATAACGTTAAAATTGCGCAACTCAAACAAATAACAGATAAGATATATTGTTGTGCTCTCAGTCTCACTTAAATTTGATTTGCAGGCACTTCGTAAAGCTGAAAAGGTCTAATTGCCGGTCAAAACACCGTACAGGTAAACTGTATCTTGACCAATTGTGTAGAATTATTGGGGTCATTGTTGTGTCCTCCACCCACTTGGTCAGGATATGTGGCTGACAGTGACAATAGCATTTGTTGTAACCACTTACTGAAAATCACGTACCGAACAGCTGACCATAAATCCTCTTTTGGCAGCTTGCCCGACTGGATTTGTTATCCATGGAGTACAAACGGCCTTTAAGTAATTAGTAAAGTAGATTGATTTAGCCACTATTTCTTCATCAGACCTTTACAAGCCTGGACGATAGTTTAGTCAAACTCAACTGATGATCTTAGACAAAATTCGTTTCCGATGAAAGCTCTGATTATAAGATTATATGAATTTCTCAACTAACTCACCAGTCCAAATAGACTGAAGACATCTTCTACTGGACTAAACAGTAAACATTTCTCTTTCAGAAAGTGTCACTCCAGATTAATATAGTCCTAAACGTCAGCTCTTCAACCTAGGAAAGACGGAAATTAACGAACGGATAGTAATAATGCTCCGATTGTAAAAATGTACCTCAACCAACTCATGAGTTACTGTTAGTGTCCGTATTTTCTAGAATAACGAGCTGGCATTTAGACTTCTTGGTAATCCAGTCAACAGTAGACAAAAGACACAATCTCTCACAAAAAGGCTGACACTTGAAAACAGAGCTGGGTTTATTTTAAATGAATGCCCTGCTTCTCCTAGATCAAACTAGGCTTTAGAATTAGAAGCAGACAAGGTTATGTCTTGTAGCGCGATGCACTACTGGGTCGCGCCGCGCATCAAATAATTCTTCTCGCAACCAGATCGGCAAATAATTCTTCTCGCAACCAGATCGGCGAGATGCGAAGGATTGACATCGTGAATCAAGGTTATGTCGTTTTGGTAAGTAGTTATGAGACCATATGAAATGGCTTAGCGGCCAAAATCCTGTACCGGAAAATATATTTATATCGGGCCGTTTCCGGTCTAGCAGTCAAAACCAAAGACCGGTCGATATCTAATACTGCACTGTAAGTGTATAGCTGACCAGAGGTCGGAGAAGACCATAGTGGTACGTCATCAGATGAAATGTTTTGTCACTGTTTTGCATCATCGAATAAAGGCCTTGCTTCTTGGCCCTTCAGTTTTGCCGATTGTACTTTAGCTGAAATCAATAATGATATACATCTAATTACAGTATAAGCCAATTATACTATATAACCGTACAAACAATGTAAGTGTAGGTTAACATCATATTTAGATGACTGAGTTTGATGTTGCATAACATTTTGTTGGTAATGCTCCGTTTACCAGCATAATCATCTCCTTTGCTCGCATTAACTCCCCTTTAACCAGCCTTTAACAAGCCTTAAACGTGAATTATCGCCTGCCCAGTCCAAGCTAATCCTGCTGAAGAAGAATGAACCTTTATATAAGCATATGTGTAATGTACCACCCCACGTGTCGTGCACTCCTTAAACTGGAGACAAAGGATCCACCGTATGTTTTGTGTGAAGAATTGATCACGTGTTGGTCAGGTGGTAGGCACACAATAGCCCAGTACATCTGTATAGCAGTGACGCTGCTATGACACTAGCCAATCAAAAGCATGCTCCCTACTGGTCTGCTAGTACCTTGCCTTAACGAGTTATGTTCGCGCGTCTCTACTTTTTAATTTGACGAGTTTCGATCTGGTTTCATTTAGAGGCGTGGTGCGAGTTAGTGTCAAACTAAGAAACTATATAAACAGGTGGTGTAAGCTCCTCACATCAGTTGCTCGCTAATTATTACAGAGTTTGTACGAGCTGTTGGATAAGGCACCTGGATTGATATCGGCTTTGTTTTGCAGCGATTGTGAGAGGCTGGTCGTGTTCGGTTACTATTCGTTTTGTTGTTGAATTGTGCAATCTTCAAAATCATGGTTTCTGCGTAATTTGACTGATCGTTCTGTTGTTTCCTATTATGAGTAATAATGAGGCAATCTTTTTCCGAACGATATTATTTGCCCTGATTTGCTCGAGTCTTGCGGGCATCTTTACCAACGAATGGGCGGTTCGTTTGAAGAGGGGAGCTGACCCTGATGCCGTGGCGGAGCTCCACAACTTTGAGAATCTCGGCCAGGTAACAATAACGTGGTCACTTTGTCATCTTGTTGTCATAGTAACTGGCTGGTTATTTTGACAGCCGTACACTTTGTATTTAAGTGAGGTATATCTTTATTGAAAGGTACCACTATGTAGAAATACAAACCGTCCCCTAACTTTAAGTACATACGACGTTTCCTGTAGTAATAGTATTCCCGCGATAATCGGCCCGAGGTTCAAATTAATGTACTCGGATGTTTTTTCGAATGTACATTATACATTTGTGGTGATCATGGTTTCACTTATTCAGAAATGTATGATCGCGAAATATGATGTACTGTCGCTAAATTCTGCGTTTTATACTCGATAAGTGAAAGTGAAACGAATCGAAAAGTTTTCAGAAGTTCTCAAATCTAAAAAATATCCAATGTTACCTATAACAATATATATAATAATTAAGGAGTGTAATTTACCTCTGAACATTTTATCTCTCGACTTCCACCTTACATTACCCAACGGTAAACTTCGCCAGCCTGATCCTATCACAACTCAAATCCAAGCCCCAAAACTCAAAAGCCAAAAAAACTATTAAGGGTCAAATGTCAAATTAAATTCCTTTTCGGCCTTCTTAATTGTGTACATGATGATGGATGGTTAGGAGGGTAGGTTACACACAATATGGTTGCATTGTTTTCATGCTGCACGTCATATGTCCATGCTATGTAGTATACACTATACATGTACGGGAAATATGTTTTAATAAGTTTGAGAGTCATGGCATGTGCAGTCTTAAGATTAGATTGTATTTAATTTCGACCCCACGTCCCCCATGTAAAATTATACACAAGTCTTCTGTGTGTTGTTTCTTCTGACGAGGATTCTTGTTCACGTAGCATGTTTTGCCAGTGTTTTAAATTTATAAATGTGAACTTAAAAAATATTCTTCAACAGGGTTGATAGTGGCTCCATATATCAACAGGGTTGATAGTGGCTCCATATATCTTTTTCCTCAATCCACGTACTGCATCTCGGCTTGTTTCACACAACCTCATGGGGTGTTGTGCTGTTAGATGTACAGTGTACAAGTGTGTATAGTGTACAGTAAAGACTAACAAATAATAAATAAAAATAGAATTCCCGGAGTTCTTTTGTTTTATGGAGGTTGCAGACACGGATCTGAATCGTAGGAAATATTTGGAGGGAATTTGTTTTCTAATATCCTGTTTAACACAGAGTTGTGTAATGTATATGTCCCTTAGTTTAATAATTATAAAGCCAGCACAAAAAAACATACTTTAAGTTTAACAGGACATTTCTTTCCGGCAAACTATGTTAAATATAATATAGTTAATGTAAGTAATTACCACGTTCTTTCTTCTCAATACAATGTTTTTTCTTCTCACTACAATGTTTTTTCTTCTCACTACAATGTTTTTTCTTCTCACTACAATGTTTTTTCTTCTCACTACAATGTTTTTTCTTCTCACTACAATGGTGCAGCCTGTCATTAAAACTTTCGTAATAGAGGGGAGTATTATATAAAGCAAAGTACGCAACTTTCAGGTGTAAACTAGTTAACCAGTACCACTGTTATACCCAGTAAACCAGTAACCAGCATGTTATTCCGCCTAGTTAGTGGAGCAGAGAATTCAAATTATAATTCAGAGGTACCTGACTTGGGTCTAGCTCGTGTCAGCAGCTGGAAGAGTGTGAAATTAGCCATAGTTATGTCTGGGGCGGATTATTGCACAATTTTTAGGATAGGAGGGTGGCTATGGGGATTGGTGTTTTGCAGAAAGAATGGAAAAGAATGGAAATGATTTCACACGATTCTGATATTTAGATTGGCAGTTTATTAAACAATGAAAACTGGAAAAATAAAAAGCACACATAAAATTGTCCACGTAGCAAAGCTCAATGTTGTTGCTTTGTTGGTACAGCAGGTGTGTGATAGATTATTGTCTTCAAGTCAATATCTGAAGTCAATATCTGTGTTGAAGAAATATCTGTGTACTGTGTAGAAGTCAATTATAGCTGTGTTGAAGTTATTAAAATTAAAATATTAAAATGTTTACTTTTGAGCAGGCCCTCTTGTTGATCTGGTGGTCTGACTCACAAAGGGTTTGGAAAAAATTTTCATAAGACCCGAGCCCTGGGAGAAGTTGTGAATTTTCATCAATTGGGCACCCTGAAATTGGGGTACACTGTAACTTGTGTGGGAGCCAGATCCAATTCATATTATGTGAAATTCCTCACGTTCTTCATTTTGCTCTCGAGGAGAACTGGAAGAAAAACGTGTCAATTCTTAAGAAGTCACGTACACTTTTCAGTGACACTCTATACAGGCTGCAGGCTATACGACTATTTACTCAGAAGTTGTATTGAAACAACCTTTGTTATGACGGACCCTGTTCGAGAAGGCCCTAACGTCACGATGTTCGGTTCATTAACAAGAATTTCGCCGCGGTTAAACCACGCACGATCAATTTTCTCTACCATGTACTTATACCATTATGGCATTAATTCTTTTGAGTGAAAAGTGTGACTGGAAAAAAGTGCACCATATTTACATACTATGTTTTTTATAAATAACCAGTGGGATTCGTGCATGGTTAATGGTAAAATTTGACGATTTATTTGACCAATGCAGCGCCTTGCATCAACAATAAATGAATCCAGAAAATTGCGGAAAATAACTTTGCGAAGGAGGAATTTCACTGTAATTAATTAACACATGGCTAGCGTCGCGCGCAGCATAACAGACGCTTCCTATACACTCAATTATAGGGGAGTGGTCTATATTACGAAGGAGCAGACTTTTGTCGTCATCGCAGGTCCATCGGGCCACCTCATATATCTAAACCCGATTACTTATTCCCTACGATCTTTTTGCCTTCGGCAAGAGTAGGGAAAAAATCACCGCCTTGAAGTAAACATATGTGTGAAGTAAATGTCTGTAAGTGTATTGAAAAAATTATCATAACATGAGATGACTGTAGTTTTCAGTTCACTACTCTCACATTTTGATTGTTGCTATGTAGAGGAAACGTTCCTTTGAAAAGGAGGAGTGCTTCTGTGGAGTTTTGTGAGATTACGGTCGAGTTATTTAATCACGTATTTGTAATCATAGCCCAATATCATTACATCTTTCAGCTCATTGTTGGCTGGCAAACTATTAATGCAGCGATCGTTGTGAAGAAATCATCCGTCAAGTATTGCTCCATTCTTCATTGTCCGATCTTAGGAGACTATTGTGATGAGAAGTAATGATGCCCGTGTAGCAGGCTGGTCATTAAGATCATTGCATTGTGATGGAGGTTGTGACTCAATATCGGGCTCTTTTCTTTGTTGGTCTTAAGAATCTGAAATATTTGACCAACAGATTGTAACTGTAATGAGATATAGGCCCTTTCCTTTTCGCAACCCAAAACAAACACTTGGAGAATAGAATTTAAAGATCATATATCACTAATGTCATATGTTCACAATTTAATTTGGTTAAGATATTGATCATGGGGTCAATCTTATTAAAATTAATTCACGTGGCATTTGATAGCAAATATATTTGATAGACGTACATGTATCTATGAGAAAATATGGCGACAAGATCATCAGGTCATGATTAAATCACTCAACCCTCGCATTCATATGGTTAACTTGCGACATATTTGACGTACTTCATTTTATTAGCATGTCACCGGTCACGTGATCAAAACAGTTTAATTGCGCCCATGTCATGCGGAGTGATTCGGAAGAAGCGTCCAGAAAAAATGCCATGCCAACGTTTCTTCTGAAACAATCTCGACATTCAAATGTAGATGGTAGAGTGATTTAACACACTCAGATAGGTTTGATCGAAAAAGTAGTACGTGTGCTTTATTACTAGTACTACACGTAGTGCCTAAACAATAGAAATCCTGCTCATTGTATTGAACATGGAGGATATTGTATTCCGTGTACTATGTACACTGTTCTCTGTAAATTAACTACATATTGTGTAATTCTGAGCAGTACCGCTGGAAACAAATCTCTATAACTTTGATGAGGGGGGGGGGGGAAGGAGGTCATAAATAGAAGCAAATAAAAAGTATACGGGTAAACCGCCCCTAAAATGTCACCCACCCCTAAAACGCCACTCTTGATTGATTGGATCCCATCTTCTTAGAAAGTATATTACCTAATCATTTGTAACTCCTAAACATAAAAAAATATCATTCAGACCCTGCCACATCCTGAAATTGAATCTAAATGATGCCATAAGGGCATTTTTTCACTTTGTACGAATTTTTTACTTTTGAAAAAAAGCGCACAATTTTATAACTCTGGAATTCATTAATATTAACTCGGTTTTGGTCTAGGATAGTGATATTTACATATTTTAGCAACTTTGTACATATGACTGGAGATATGGAAAGTTATACATTACTCAATATTACTACCCTCCCCTAAAATGTCACCTGGCCGCCCCCTAAAATGTAATTTTATCAGATTCTGGCTTTGAGACTACAAGCACCATAAAATGGAGGTACCAGCCTATTAAACATCATATTTAGCATCTAATGGTAATATTGGAAAGCTTTGGCAGCTCAAGGAATTAGTTTTATTTTATTAATCGCAATAAACATCCCCTAAAATGTCTAATTATCCCCCCTAAAATGTCATTTTAACCTGATCAAATTACTCAGGCTTTTCCTAAGATGCAATGCATACTCACATTTCATTAATAGTTGATGTTAATAATTAACAAGTGCCAAAACAAGAGCTATTATCGCACACCATGCGAACAAAATACAAATTTGACATTTTAGGGGAGAAAAAATGACATTTTAGGGGGCATATCATAGGTTTACCATAAACTAGTAAGTACCAAAAACCGTAGTTTTTGACATTCAATTTTGCTAAAAGCAGTCAAATCTAGTCTATAGAGAAGGTCAGATCGATTACTGGGTTGGCTTAGTTAACTACAGGTCACTACAATTGCCAAAATGCAGGATGATGTTAAAAATCCCAAAAAATGCAATTAAAACATGCAATTTGCACTAGGTTAAAATCACATTGAATCCATTTCTTTTGTGCAAATTGTTAGTTTATAACTAGATAATCTAACTACAGGTGTAAATTTTGTTGACTGAGTTACTGTTTTGCCGTAAGTTCTGGGTATTCAAAAAAAAGTCCCCAAAATGTCACAAAAAGTAAATTGACTAAATTCCACCATTTTTTTTCAACAGAGAGAGAAATTCTGGTCGACACCTCTCAGAAATAGGTTATATTTGTCCCAGAAGTGATTAAAATTAATAATTGAGCTACATTCTGAGTGCTACACAACCTGTTTTAGCTGACGTTTTAGGGGTGGTGCACGTGACATTTTAGGGGCTGATTACGGTTTTGAGGTACTTCCTTTAGTGAGTGAATGTTTTCAAGTAGCTTAATGTTTTAATAAGACAAAACAAATAGTACTAGTGACAAAAGATAAATCAGGCCTCCTGTACATTTTGTAATTATCACACATATAGAGTTGACATTTTAGGGGTGGTGTTTTAAAAGTGACTCCATTTCAACGTCAAAAAAATTGTACCTGATTTTATTTTCAAATCTCCAAATCTTCCTGGCAGGCTAGAAAAAGGTTTAAATATTATTCCTAGACACTTCAGAACCCTGTAAATTTAGCCCTAACTCGGCAATCTGGGCCCAAAAAACAGGTGACGTTTTAGGGACGGTTTACCCGTAACGATGAAAATGGTAGTAGTATTAGTGGTTTTCTTAGGACTTCCATATTGACTCAATTTTAATCTGTTGAGGGATTAAATTGCGATCTTCCGATGTCTTTGAGTTTGATGTTACTTCATGAAAAACGTTTGACCCTCACCATAGTTATGAGCATGTCTTTCTTATCTCATCGTATACAACGATATACCAAGCTGAAATAAATAAATTTTATAGAAGTTAGAACAAATAACGGCAGATCACTAATGGTGCAAAAACGTGCGGTATTAAGGTATAATATTATAATAGTATACTATTATTAGGTCAATGGTGGTATTATGCACACTTCTATAACCATTCTACCACACTTTCATTTTGTCTCTTCTACTGCAACCATATCAAGTATTAACATTAAAGCATTAAGATTATTACAACATTTCCTTTATTTCAGCTGCACAAGAGACACTTCGACAATCTTTACCACTTCCGACACAAAGAACTAAAAAAGAGGCACTCCAGACTCAGACGTGATGTTACTAATCAGCTGAATCTACATGAGATGATCGAGAGCAGCGAGCAGGATGAGGTCCTACAGCTTGATAAGCGAGGAAATCGAATCAGGTGATCATGTAATTATTGCTTTATTGTATAATTATAATATAACTAGAAGGCCCGAGGGAGGGAGTTGGTAGTATTCTTTGATAGTTAGTTTTTATCGTATCAAAAAATATCCATTCCGACCGAAGATACAGCCCATTTCAATGTAAAACTAAAACACTTTAAACACAACTTTATAACACAAAACCGATCAAAATGTCGCTCGCAAATCTTTGCATGTGCACGTGCGCGTTCCAACACCGTTACTATGCAACCTTTTGCCTTTTACCTAATTTGCACGTGGGCGGTCGTACAGACAGAGATAATCTTTCGAATTATATTATAGACTAGAAAGCCCGTGGTCACAGGGAGGAAGCTAACAGTATTCTTTGGTAGTCAGTTTTTATAGCATCAACAAATATCCATCACAACCGAAGATACAGCCAATTAAAATATAGCTCGCACTGAACACCACGTAATAACAAAAAACTGATCAAAATGCCCCTCTCAAATCCTTGCACGTGCAAGTGCACTTTTAACACCGTTACCATGGTTACTTTACAACTTCTTATTTCTCAGCAAATTTGTACGTGGGCGGTCGTACATTACATTCTACAGACAGACAAACATAATCTTTCGAATTATAAGTAACGATTATTCAGGGGACGGGTTTAAAAATGTAAATTCCTTTACGAACCTTATTGTAAGATTGTAGAAGTTTATCAGATTCAATGTCAATCATGATTGTAGGTTAGCCTTTAATGGTAAATTTGTGATTTTTTAAATCATTCCATCGACAGTAAGCACGAGCTGTACAATGACCCTATATGGGCGAATGAGTGGTTTTTAAACTCTGAAGACGCAGGACCGTTTGAGAGGTACGAGTACAATATCAACATCCAGCCAGCCTGGGACAAGGGCTACAACGGTAGCGGGGTGGTGGTTTGTGTCATTGACGATGGTCTCGAGAAAAATCACGCAGATTTGGCTGACAACTACGACCCCTTAGCAAGCTACGACATGCAGGATGACGATGAAGACCCTTCGCCTCGGTACGCCAGTAACGAACCCAACAGGCACGGTACACGGTGTGCGGGGGAGATTGCTGCGGCTAGGAACAATAGCGTGTGCGGGGTTGGGGTGGCCTTTGATTCCAAAATTGGAGGCATCAGGATCCTAGACGGCCCGGTTACCCGTATCATGGAGAGCAAGGCTCTCGGATTCAATGTTGATTACATTGACATTTTCTCAGCTTCCTGGGGACCTCCTGATAACGGAAAGTCCATGGACGGACCAAAAGGGATCACATCCGAGGTTCTGGAAGCGGCTATGAAAAATGGAAGAGGAGGAAAAGGGACCATCTACGTGTGGGCCGGAGGTAACGGAGGGAAGAATGATGATTGCAACGCTGATGGTTATCAGACGATGAGATGGAGTGTAAGCATCAGCGCTGTGGGACTCAATGGAGACACGCCCTACTACGCTGAACCATGTGCCTCTGCTCTAGCCTCTACATTTAGTAGCGGCTTTGTGCACAGTATCGCTACAACTGATATCCATGGAGAGTGCACTAAAAAACACTCCGGAACCAGCGCAGCCGCTCCAATAGCCGCTGGGATTTTAGCGTTAGTTCTGCAGGCGAACCCTGATCTACATTGGAGAGATGTTCAGCATGTGGTAGTCAGAGCAGCTGTGCCTGACAAGCTGTTTCATCACGAGGGGTGGGTTAGAAACGCTGCTAACCGTGCAACCCACACCAACTTCGGGTATGGTATCATAGACACAGATAGGGCGATCAATATTGCTAAGAACTGGACTAACGTGGGACCAGATCACAGATGTCAGTCTCCAAAACTAACATACAACCGAGCGATAACAGCTCATGAGGGTATTACTATAGAGATACCCTTCGACGGATGCCATGACACTAACAACGAGGTAAAATCCATGGAACATGTCTACTTGCAGATCACCATGAAAACACCGAGGAGAGGTGACATGTCAATCGACATGATATCACCTTCAGGAACTGAGATGAGACTCATCAGCACCAGGCAGTATGATAGTGATGTTGTCGGATTCGTTGACTGGAGACTTATGACTGTGTTCCTCTTCGGTGAAAATCCCGATGGTAAGTAAATGAAGAACGTGATTAGGTTATAAATAAACTCACTAGATTTAGTATTTCACCATGAAAGATCCTTCTGAAACTACTATAGAAACAACGACTCTTAAATTTGTAATCTTTGATTTTAACGAATGTTAATTTAAATCACAGGTATTTGGACCGTGCATATCAAGAACCACGGCAAATACATCGCAGAACTTGAAAACATGTTCCTTGACGTGTTCGGTACGGAAAACGCTCCGCATGAGCCGAGTATTCCTGTCTTCAGTTCTGATGATTCCTCGGTAGGTTGACCTGCACTTTAACTTAAGAATTATAATTACTGAACACGGCCGGCCTCTGACTCCGCCATCTTAATATATAATATATAACATCTGCAAACATTTAAGCCTTAGCTCCCCAGGCAGAGTTTTAAGTGCATCATAGCATAAGCACCATGACGTAGATAGTCATTAGTCACTAGATTAGTGTAACTATAACTAATAATCTATGTACTATGTAGTTCTATATCCCAGAACAAGACTAATTCGAAATGTAATAAGTCAAACTCAGACATTAAGATGTACAATGTATAGTAGGGCTCACAAGCATGTATTAAGATGTACACACGCATGTATTGAGATGTACATTGTACACTGTATATCTTAGTTCTTAGTCCTTCTTAGTTCTTTTCATGCGTACCAACCCTCTTAGTCTTAGTGATAATCTATTAAATACTATATCTTATATCATATTGTCACTTGCTGATATCTGGATATTATCCGGTTGTAAGAGACAAGGACAAGTGAAACAAGGAAGTTAGGAGTAAGGGCAAATTTTCGGCGTCAACGCCATCTTCAGGCTCAAATTATTTGTTATATAGTAGTGTTGAAAGTATTAGAAAGTATTTAATACTTTCAACACTACTATATAACAAATAATTTGAGCCTGAAGATGGCGTTGACGCCGAAAATTTGCCCTTACTCCTAACTTCCTTGTTTCACTTGTCCTTGTCTCTTCCAACCGGATAATATCCAGATATCAGTATTTCAATCATGAGACTAATAAACAGCGAACTACTCCGTTATTTGATATTGTCACTTGGTTCCTGTAACTATATCTAATGTCATAATCAGTAATGTAACTAGGTATTTAATAGTAATACATAGCCAAACCTAAAGTAATTATAACCATAGTCTTTAAGTTTATCACACTTTTTCCAGGTTTGTGATTCTCTCTGCAATATGGCAGAACACGCTTACTACGACTCCGCTAATCGCTGCGCCAAGTGCATGGATGTAGTCAAGGTGAGCTCCGAATGAATTTGTTCGACACAAATTATTAACTTTTGTTATTTATTGATACATGTTTTGTATCCCAATATCAGAGATATTGGCGCGCTTCGCGCGCGAAAAGTGGCATGCAACGTATGTCAAGTTATTTATATGAAGCTACACTCTTCCGCAAGTAGGGCCACTGGCCACTGGCCAGGCCGAAAGTCTGTTTATTTGTTATTTAGAGCAAGTGGTGAGGGGACATGAAATTATGAAAAGCGATGAAAAGCAAACATAAACTAGGACTCAAAATCTAATAGTAATAGTATGTAGGTCACTAGGGTGGCACGATTAAGATAGCTCTGATAAACGGAAAATCATCAGAATATAAAAAGAAATTTTTGAAGCGAAGCTTTTCTGCTGTCTCCTTGACTTAAATTTCGTGGTTTTGACTGAATTTTTGACCAGTGACCAATCACTATCAGTGAGGATAGTGAGAGTGACACAAGTCGCAATCAAGGTGCTGGAAGCTGTATATCCGGAGAAAACTTTGATGGAATGGAAATTTTGAAAATATCCTACCGGTAGGACATTTTAAAAATTCAGCCTTCCGCGACCCAAATTTCACTGTTTTGACTGAATTTGTCTTGAATGACCATGATCTAGCAAGGTCCCGGTCACTGAGAATGGCACAAGACACAATTGAGGCACTGAAAGTTCTATCACCAAAGAAAGCTTTGATAAACGGAAAATAATCAGAATATAAGAAGAGATTTTTGAATATGTCGGACATTTTAAAATTTCAGCCTTCGCTGTTTAGACTGAATTTTTCTTACCTAGCTTGCTAGTCTATTACTCGCTCCTTTCACGTTGCACGTATAATGACTAATAATGAGAGAGGCTCGAAAAGAGCGCCACGCATTGGGACTGACGTGCCTGCAGATAAAATTTTTCTTGAATGACCATCTAGCAATTAGCAGTAGCAAAGTCATTATAAATTGAAATTCTTAATGCTTACCATAAATAATTTGACGGCGGCGCCAGGCGCTCAGCCTGCCATTCCGCCAAATTTCGATATATGTTTCTGAACATTTATAATTATATAGCCTGGGGTCCCCCAAAATTATCACGATCACGAATACCTTTTTGTCCATTCAAGCTGGATAAGATATGATTTCGTGAGCTGAGCTACAATCTGTTCAAAGAATTGACAATTGCCAATTGCCATTGTCAATCAATTCATCATCCGAGAAATACAATTTTTACGAATGATACATTGTAGGTTTACAACCTACCAGGACGCGCGCCGCGCCGAGTTGGACTCGTCGACGGTAATATATGGAACAGATATTTTACGAGTATCACCCGTTAAATGATTCAGTGATCATGTAACCATTTGTTTCATGATACTTCAATTTGGCACATTCATAACAAATAGTTATTTGTGTTACTGTTATACTTATAAGTATTTATAACAGTAACACAGTGAAATTAACAAAAGTGGTTAAAAAGGACGCGCGCAGGTAAACTGATTTTTTATCATACTGATAGTGATAACAACTTGCTTGCTGAGACCTGTCCCACAGTTCTTCAAGTTCACATGATGAAACATTATTTGGACGGATAGCATCCGTAAACAGTAAAACGCATGACATATATCTAGAATTTTTATAGACCAAATATTTTAATCATCCTTTGAATCGACCTTTCAGTTAACTGATGAAGACACAAACTTATATTTTTGTTTTCAGGTTGATCTCAAACGTCGAAGTGACGAGTTAAAGAAAAGAAACCATGGCTTACCTACTTAACGTAAATCGTTCTTCCTGTTTTTCCTTCTTCCAGACCCCATGTCTCTTTTAGCAGTAGCACTAAGTGTAGTTTTGGCAAAATATTTGTAAAAATTGTAGATTAAGACGTAAGTAATGTATATCATCTCGTAACGTAGGTCTTTCTAAAAATCAAAAGATTGTCCGTTTCATTAGGAGAGGAATTTTTAAAAGGTTTTAATATCTAAAGATTTTTAGTGTATAAATCTTAAATTATTTGATGATTTTACTTTTAGGAATTCAAATTGGACATTAGAAGTATATTGTTGAGATGACTAATAAGTAATAAAACGATCAGTATATGATTTTGAACGCAATCTTATTTGAGTAAAGTAATTTCGATAATTTGACATTGTTTTAGTGACACAATTTAAATTCTTTAATTACAAACCCGTTCGCGAAGTTGATTAACTTTAAGTGTATTCAAATCTGTTTCACTTTGTAAAACTATAAAAACTTTTTATGCCTAAACCGTGGGCAATCATGATCAGAAATGTATTATAATAAATCTAGAAAATCTAGAAAAATTAAAACTACCCTGAATGTGAAACAAGTTTAAGTTCAACTAAAAATTAGTGTAAATTAGTTTGAGCTTGATTTTATCACAAAATGTAATATTACTTTTAAAACTCGGATACTGTTCACTGTTGATCATGTGGATAGCATTAGGAATTATGATAATTAAAGTAATAGGATGAACATAAAGTAAATGTAAAGTTTTGATCGCTTTCTAATTCTACAGGATCGTCATTTGGAGTTAATAAAATCTTTTCAAAAATGCCCCACTCATCTGTCATCTTGTTCTTTCGCTGATTCTTTAGATGAGTGAGCAAAAACCAGAATCTTCCTAAATTTTTTATTAATATTATATTTATACATATATTCTTATACAAACCTTCTTATACTTTTGCTACGGAATTAGAATCATAAAGATTCTGCAGTCAAATAATTAGCAACAAAATATAAAGCTCGAAAGGAAAGTTCATAACAAATCGAAAACAAGCTGTAAATAATCAGTCATTTTATTCTCACGCCATCGCCTTCTTTCCATTATCAATTTCATTAAGTCAGATTGTACTGAAGATCATAGTTCATATAACAAATGTTTCTGAAATGACCACTAGTCCGCCAACCCGGCTATACTTTCAGTTCATCATGTGCCGGTGGAGGCGGCTGCTCTGTTTTCACTTCATTAGGTTTCTTCTGGTTACCAAGGTTACTGCACATCTGGAAGTTAATAGTAACCCCTCCACATGTAAACTCTTGTTGGGGTACTCTGCTCGGTTTCTTGTCGTTAGGATCTGTTGGGTCTAGCTCTTTGTAGTTAGCCAAGAAATGCTTTCGTATCGACGACCTTTCTCTTCTGCGGGGAAATATTTTCTTTAGTTTAGAGTTTGTTTGAATGGGAAAGTATTTATAATTGGTCTATGACATAAAAGGTTTACATATATTTTCCTGCTATAGATTCCCCGCCTTATCCAAGATCAATATTTGCACGGCATATTCACGTTGAATCGCCACGAATTTAAAAGGATTTTACAGTTGCAAGTCAAACTAAGGCTGTGGCGAACAAACCAGACTCCGCGTACATATTTTATTGTCGGACTAAACTGGAAAACTGCTATACTACTGTTTATTTTGGCGACTTGTCACCTCTAATGAATGGTTCTGGCCCAGATATTGAACCAAAATCGGCTACCACTCTATTACTATATATTATTTCTTAATTGCTGCGTACGAATATGATGGAGTCAGACTATATCAAAACGACCCATTATTACTGAAACAACTTAAATAAAATTAGAGTCGTCTCAGCTTTAAGGGGTCGTTCACATATTACGTAATCAATATTTTAACAATTTTTACCCCCTCCCCCCCCCTCCGTAATCAACCGTAATCAAGACCCAACCCCGAAATATTACGTAATCATGGCCTTAACCCCCCCCCCCCCCCCTTCACCTTTTCCCTACTTTTCATAAACGAATAGATGTTAGGCGGAATGAAAGGCTGAGCGCCGCCCAGTAAAAATCATTACGACTACGTTATGATATCCGGCCAAGCACCTTCTAAACTACTTACTATTTTAGCCGGATATTCGATCAATTTCTAAATTGTATCACTATCAGAGTAAAATTGATTATTATTATTCTAGAGGGCAAAAAAGAAAATGTTGATTTATACGAAATCAACGACCAAACCCCCCCCCCCCCCCCCCCGTAATCAACCGTAAGCAGCCCCCCCCCCCCCTCGGCTGATTACGTAATATGTGAACGACCCCTTAAAAGAAGGTAAACATCCAGAAAGAAGATCATGACAAAAAACTTACAAGTTCTGACACATCATGATAAAGAGTAGTAAACACAATAAAACAAAGATGATGACAGGAAGGATGATGCTCGCTGGAGAGTATCCGGGGTTCTCCCATAGCGTGCAGCTAACATCACCATTATCCTCCTCTTTCTCAAAATACTTGAATTTATCGAAATCAATTATAGAATCTTTGCCTTGGAATTCTTCTGTGTTGCAGTGTGATACATTCAATTTGCCTATCGCCTGATCTGCTGCTAATAGAGTGTCTACACATTTGTCGTTCAGAAGGAATAGCTTGCAATACTTTATTACTTCCTCTGTAGCCATTTTCTAGGGGATTTGGTTATCAATCATTTATTTAATTTAATCTAGTTAAACGTTATTATATATACAGCAGGAATCCGTCCATTTTGCATTTCCAACTCTAAAGTGGTGTCAAGAGACAACAATATTTATTTATTTTGAGATTTTGACACCACTTGTTGGTCCTAAAGTTCTTATTGTTGGTCCTAAAGTTCTTATTCCGTGGCCAATATTATTTCTTCACACTGCTCGAAAGGCTATAAAACCATTCGACTCAGGCAAAGATTCTTTGAAAGAATATTCGATGGTTTATCTTTCACGGTTTTCGCGGAAAGTCGTGTTAAAGTTTATGTCGCGGTGTCAGTAAAATAGCAAAAGATATACATCGTCTCGCTTTATAAATAGCAAGATATGAGGCGTAACGAATACATTTATTCAGGCATGGAAGCAGTAGCAGCAAAATGACTGACAAATTAAGAGAACAGAGGAAAAGTCGGGTGGTATCCCAGAAGGTTGGTGCTGCAGTCGCCCGACCTTTTCACACGAAATTGAGGTACTTAGAGTTAGATTACTATACACTTGGATAGACAAAGGGCGGTCTTCTCTAACTCGAACTAATCGAATTCCTCTTCAATTGTACCCAGTGGTGATACGACGCTTTAATTACCCGAGGGATTGTTTGGTGAAAATCTGAAATTTAGTCTAGTGGATGTGAAAGTACAGCCTTAAAAACTGAGCTCAAGAACAGAATCTGCGGATACCCCCGGCTAATCGGATACGCTTTGTATACTGAAGGGAATTGTATTTGTATTGGATTTAGACTCACAACACGAGAAGGAGTAACGGCCATTAAACTTAATCATCAATAACAAGGAGCTTGACCTTAGAGATCTGCAACACAATAACTTTCGGTAAGATACTCAAAGAAAAATATAAGACTATAAGGTTTGAGTAAATTGAGTACCGCAGCCCCGCAGGATAGAAATCCTGAATTAAGGTAATGAGTTGACATTAATATTCATAGAAAAGTGTCCAAATTAGGCAAAGAAATTAGTGGTCCTGCCGACAAGCCTATCTAGTCACTGCACACTTATAATAAATATATTGATTAAGGAGCCCTGACCGAAGTAAGAACGCGGCACTGACACATTAAAATTAATTAGAATAGTTACTCATTAATAGAAATCCCTTTAAGGTTATGAAATACAAACTATCATGCGACAAATTGAAAATTATATTTTCTGTGTTAAAAACTGAACATAAACTGAACCTGGTCAACGAAAAAGATTCACTACCAACAATTGTCACAATTGTCATCGACGGGAAAATCATTCATAAAGTTTCAATCTATCAAAGCATTGTTTGTTTCTTTATTACATTCTATATTACACTCACACGGTAAAAATTATATCTTAATTATCAGAAATTGCTTTAATTTTTGCGGAAATTAATGTTTCTTACTTTATTAATACACGGGGGACCCAATTTTCTACCAAAATTTAGTCATAATTGTGATCAATACTTCCTCTTAGTCTTATTAAGAAGTGAACCACCAATTTTACAAATTAGCCGCATCCTACCACCAACTTTTGGGTACATTTATAATTTTAAACCAGCCCCTGACTTTGAATTCTGGGAGCTCCACACCCTTTCATTTTAGATGATACACAGTATACAGAGGAAAAATATATTGATTATTGACCTAATAGTAATACGGCACTCTTTTGCACCATCGGCCGTTATTCGTTCTATCAAATTTGTATCGCTGTGCACAATGAGAACCCCTGTTTTAAAACAGATTGTCGTGAAGTATATCTATTCCGGAAAAAGAGTGCAATTGCAGAGACGCCTCAAAGTGCCCCCTCTAAGGACATGCAGTGTCTGGCCAAATGTATAGTCTACCAAGCAGCCGTTAAGGGGACATACATCAAAACCTTTTTTGCCGAGATTCGGGATTTGACTTCATATTATGAAAGTATAGATTTAAAAAAATAAGATTTGATGCATTGAACATTTTTTTGAGAGTACGCACTTTTGAAAAAAAAAATTCTTTTTTGAAATTTTGAGAAGTCTGTTACTGAAATACCGATAATTTAATAATTTTAAAAGTGTTATGGCTGATTTTATTACTGAACATTATTAATATTTGCAATCCGTACAAGACGTCCTCGAAAGGATTACACAATTGAATAATAAATGACGAAGTTACAGGCCGAACAACTACAAGGTCGAGAGAAGAAAAATTGAAATTTTTGCCTACTATTAAAGTTGTACATTTTACCAATCACCCAGGTCATAAGATATCGCTTCAAAAATTCTTGTGAGTGTAGCTGATGATCATATCCAACTTTTTGGAACAGGATTTCTCTCAATTTTGAGTTTTTAAGGTATGAAATCTGGCCTCAAAGGACTTAGTAAAATTCATCGTAAAAAAGGGTAAAAAATGGCAGATATAAGGCTGAAAATGCCTATAACTCAAAAATTATCAATTAAAATTTTTACAGAATCGTAATCAGCTTGGTAAGACGAATCTTTTAGATTACCGACCGATTTCATTCTCGGTATCATTGTGCATTTGCGGACGGTAATTCAAATTAACATCATTTACTTTTGTTTGGGAAGTACAGACACTGGCAACGGTCCACTCTACCCAATTATGGGTTTTGGTCAAATAAGATATGCAATATACATGCCCATAACTATGTTCGGGGTCAAACGTTTTTCATGACGTATCATTAAAACATCAGAAAGCAGAATCGATTTTAAAAAATATATGGAACAAGTTTAAAATCAGGAAAAACTTATACGG